TGTGGTAAACATTTGTCTGAAGTTTCATCAAAATTCTTCAAAGGGTTGAAGAGTTACAGAGCGGACAGGATTTTCAATGTTAATGTCACTGTGACCTTGACCTTGGAGCCAGCCATGCAGAACATGCGTTCTGCACGTCATCTTGATATGTGGTAAACATTTGTCTGAAGTTTTCATCAAAATTCTTCAAAGGGTTGAAGAGTTACAGAGCGGACACAATTTCGTTTGACGCCCGCCCGCCCATACCGCCCCAATGTCACTGTGACCTTGACCTTGGAGCCAGCCATGCGGAACATGCGTTCTGCACGTCATCTTGATGTGGTAAACATTTGTCTGAAGTTTCATCAAAATTCTTCAAAGGGTTGAAGAGTTACAGAGCGGACAGGATTTTCAATGTTAATGTCACTGTGACCTTGACCTTGGAGCCAGCCATGCGGGAACATGCGTTTCTGCACGTCATCTTGATGTGGTAAACATTTGTCTGAAGTTTCATCAAAAATTCTTCAAAGGGTTTGAAGAGTTACAGAGCGGACACAATTTCGTTTGACGCCCGCCCGCCCATCCGCCCAATGTCACTGTGACCTTGACCTTGGAGCCAGCCATGCGGAACATGCGTTCTGCACGTCATCTTGATGTGGTAAACATTTGTCTGAAGTTTCATCAAAATTCTTCAAAGGGTTGAAGAGTTACAGAGCGGACAGGATTTTCAATGTTAATGTCACTGTGACCTTGACCTTGGAGCCAGCCATGCGGAACATGCGTTCTGCACGTCATCTTTGATGTGGTAAACATTTGTCTGAAGTTTCATCAAAATTCTTCAAAGGGTTGAAGAGTTACAGAGCGGACACAATTTCGTTTGACGCACGCCCGCCCATCCGCCCATCCGCCCAGCCGCCCATCCGCCCATCCGCCCATCCGCCCGCCATACCCCAATCTAATAACCAGGATTTTCAAAATTGAAAACCTGGTTAACAAAATACATTTTTCGTTACTTCACTATAACTAAATTTTCTCATTTCAAGCCAGACAGCTAATAGTAACCATTCCATCCTATTACCTTGCGCCTTCTATAAATATTAAATCCTTATTTACAACTTTTTAATTGATATAACCACTGAAATCCTGTGCATACGCAATGATGAAATGAAATGTTGACCGGTCAACATTTTTTAACTGTTACACCCCTGTCGATGGGTATTTCTGTTAATCAGTTATCTAACAGTGCTCAGCTCAATGTACCGTTAAGGTTTAAAAAAAAACAACAAAGGTCTGTAGGATTCACTTATCAACAGGTAAAACAACTAAATGTCATTAGTATGTTGAAGCAGTATATATCATAGTTTGATTAATAAAACAGTTATTTCATGGGCGTTTGTGGCAACAGTTCCAAATGTCATCCCTTATACCTCAGGGCAACAGTTTTGACTGTTCAACAAAGACCCTTGAAACAACTGAATAATAAATAAAGAAAGACAAAAAAGAAATCCCTTTTCATGGGATAGGAATCTGTGATTAAGTCTATTGATCTATTCCATTATCTTTCTTCATGATGTTGTGGTGTTGAAGCTAGAACTGCCACTGTCATGGCATGAATACCCCCGCATACCACTTTGTCAGAATCAACAGTGGCCATTTTGAGCTCATGGACAACCTCCCTGCCAAATCAGACATGACTAAGACAGTTCATTGCTAAGTTATGTATTTTACATGCTTCAAATGTGAAAATGTCAAAATCAATACATTGCAGACAGGCGTTCTTAAGCATTTGAGCAGACAAGCTTATTATAGTAAAAAATCCCTGTGACCTTGACCTTTGACACAGTCACCTTAAACTCATTTGGAGTCATGTACTAGTCATAAACAACTTCAATACCAGATATGAAGGCTGTTGACCAAAGCATTCTTAAGCAATTGAGCGGACAAGTTTTTTTTAGTCAAGGCCCATGACCTTGACCCCGTGACCTCAATCTCAATAGGTGTCACCTCATGGTCTTGATCAACCACCATGCCAAATATGAAGACTGTGGGTCAAAGGATTTTTTAAGTTATTGGGCAGACAATTTTTTTTCAAGGCCCCTGTGACATTGACCATTGACCTCAAAATCAATAGGGGTCATAAACTAATCATGACTAACCTCATTGCCAAATATGATGACTGTGGGTCAAAGGAATCTTAAGTTATTAGGCAGTCAAGCTTTTTATAAGTCAAGGTCTCTGTGACCTTGACCTTTGACCCAGTAACCTAAAAATCAATAGGGTTTATCTACTAATCAAGATCAATGTCAATACAAAATATAAAGACTGTAGGTCAAAAGAATCTTGAGTTATAGGAAGAACAAGTTTTTTTTTAGTCAAGGCCCCTGTGACTTTGACCTTTGACCCAGTGATCTTAAAATCTATAGGGGTCATCTACTGATCATGACTAACCTCCATGCCAAATATGAAGACTGTGGGTCAAAGGAATCTAAAGTTATAGGACGGTCCCTGTGACCTTGAATTTTGACCTTGTGACTTCAGAATCAATGGGATCATCTACTAATCATGACCAATCTAAATACCAAGTATGAAGACTGTGGGTCAAAGAAATCTAAAGTTATTGGGCAGACAAGGAACAAAAGGGCCATGATGGCCTTAAAATCGCGCACCTGTATATAAACCCTTGGTGCGGGGCTAATTTTAACCCAGGGGCTTTCTTTTAACCAACTTGGTAAGCGCCCATTAGAGGATGTTTCATGATAACTATCTAAGCTCTAGCTCTTTAAGGTATTTAAAAGATTTTTTAAGTTTTTACTAATAATAGACATAAAAGGTAAATCAGACCCCCAGGGCGGGGCCAATTTAACCCTGGGGCTTTTATTTGAACAAATTTGGTAGACACTCACTAGAAGATGTTTCATGCTTAATATCTAAGCACTAGCTCTATGGGACACTGTAAAACACTTATCATTCGCGAGAAATTTATTTTCGCTAATATTCGCGAGTTTTCTAAGACGCGAATTCATATTTCTCGCGAATATTTCACTTTGTCTATACACTTGTCCGAAAATGAACACTAACCGGAAATGCGTACACATGGATATATAGCTGCGGGAAAGTATCGAAACCTGTTCTAGTTGCATCATGTAGCTATTCAAGTGTTGCAGCATATACATATCGTACAGATTACTAGTATGAAATATTTACCTGTAATAATTTGGTATTATTGAGGAATTGGAAAAAAACTTCTTCGCTGCATATTACCTATGTCAAGGAAGGTAACTGTGACTTGCACTAGAATTAAGTATAAACAAATTAATGCGTCACAATCACCTTCTTAATGTAACTGAAAAAAAACAACAACAGAAAATACGATTTTCAGAATAACTGTTTTGGTATTTGGTACAAATACTTTAGCACCTGCGAGTTGTTTGTAACATTTCTATTTATTGTATCCTATTGTATTGTATTACAGTTTAAGCCGGAGGGTAAACATATTCGTTTACTACAGGTTAGGCAAATTACAGTACCGTTTAATTGATTTTCGTCTGCCTGCCTTTGAATGGCTAATCAGTGGTAGTAACAATGCTAGAGGCACGGAGTATAATCAGGGACAATACATGACAAACACAGTGAACACATATCAAATAATTATCAAACTTTATTGACATATTTTAGACAGAAAGAAGATTAGCAAGCTATAAGAAAAATTGATACAGATATAAATGCATTCGTCGCACAATAAACAACGCAAAGTTAGTGAACGGACAGGGCAGAAAATATCCGAATGACATCGGGTTTCGGGTTTCACATTTCCCGGGAAGACGCGAAATAATAATTTTGGACATTTTGCCTCAAATTCGGGAAATAAGGTTCTCGCGAAAAATAAGTGTTTTACAGTATTTAAAAGAAGATTTTTTTTAGTTTTTACTATAGACATATAAGGAAAATCAGCACCCCCGGAGAGGGGTCAATTTTGATCCCAGGGCTTTTATTTGAACAAACTTGGTAGACACTCATCAGAAGATATTTCATGCTTAATATCTAAGCTCTAGCTCTTTCGGTTTTTCAAAAGAAGATTTTTTAAGTTTTTACTATATACATATAAGGAAAATCAATGACCCCATGGGACAGGGCCAATTTTGACCCCTGGGCTTTCATTTGAACAAACTTGGTAGATACTTATCAGACACTGTTTAATGCCAAATATTTAAGCTCTAGCTTTTTCGTTTTTTTAAAAGTAGATTTTTTAAGTATTTTACTATAAACATATAAGGAAAAGCAATGACCCCCCTGGGGCGTGGCCAATATTGACCTCAGGGCTTTTATTTGAACAAACCGATAGACACTCACTAGAAGATGTTTCATGCCAAATATCTAAGCTCTAGCTCTTTTGTTTTTTTTAAAAGAAGATATTTTAAGTTTTTTCTTTTGGTTGCCATGGCAACCAGAGTTCTGCATGGAATTAAATTCTTTGAATAAGTTTTAAAGGTGACCACCAATGGACCATTCCTGTGAAGTTTGAATGAAATCGGCTTAGCGGTTTATGAGATGTCGTTTAAAGTAAAAGATTACAGATGGAAGGACGCCGGACGGACGCCGGACGAAAGGTGATCACAAAAGCTCACCAAGTCACTCTGTGACAGGTGAGCTAAAAACCGATGGACAGGGGTGATGGCCGGACAGACAAGCTGATTCCAGTATACCCCCCTTACAACTTTGTTGTGTGGGGGTATAATAAATAGTGTTACATTCTAGTTTCTTCATGGTTCTGTTAAATTACAAAATGCTATATGGATCTGTTTCAAATATAAAATATCTTTGTCACACAATTTTTTTTTTCAACATACAAGAACATTTGGTAAGCGAAAACACAAATTTTACTGAACTATTGTGATGTTTTGCAGTAACAAGTAAAATGCTGTTCTGTTTTGATTTAAAATGTACAGTCTGATATAAAATATTTTGCACAAATTAAGCTTCTTTATACAGGTGTATGTCTAAAATTGCTCTATTTTAATCAATGTTAACATTAGTCTTATGGAAATGAATGAATTTAAAACTTTTATCTCAATATAAATACCTGTAAACAGTTGTTTTAAGTTGGTCCAGTAGACTACCAATGCATTTACCAACCATCTGAAATAAAGATTGACACACTAACATCTGAGTTACAATATGAACCTACTTATTTCTCTTACCATTCTTTTTACCTATTCCATAACCATGGAAATTACACTTTTGTCCAATTAAAAAAAATAAAATTTTGTAAAAAATTTCCATAATGTACTCTACTATGTTGGACATACTATACTATGTACCAGGTCTCATACCATAATAAATATAGCAAAATCAGTCATAAATTGCCTATAACATATAAATTATTTCTTTTTTACTTTTCTTAAAATCTTATTACATTTTTCTCAAAGAAGCTTTTCTTGAAATATAACATGTAGGCTTTAAAGCCAATTGGGTATCATAAGTATTAAGTGAGTATACACAAAATACTTGTTTTGCAACTTTCAAAGCTAATACTGGTTTCAGAGGAGATGTTGATTAATGAAATTGACATGCATGGCAGACAAAATGGGAATTAACATATTAGCTTATCACGAGCAGGTTGTGCTTAGGTGTGCTAAAATGTAAAGCTATTACAGGAGTGACAAATACTCCATGAGTGACCAATACTATCTCTGATGCAGTAATGTCTGAAATTTGACTTAAAAAAATGACCTTGTCCTTGCGCTGGCACAAGGGTGCACATGAATTGTTGATGTGAACATATAAGCCAAATCTGAACAATCTTTCAAGGGATATATTGGACTTGTACAGTTTATATGAAAAAAATCTAAAATAATTGACTTTTAGGTGCAACCTTACACTTGAATATGCAAAAGATCAGGTTCTGCACATCACATGGTGAACATACAGTCGACTCTCGTTATCTCGAAGTCATCGGGACCGTCCAAAAAATATCGAGATAACGAAATGTCGAGATAAACATAATAGGGTTTGAATAAGGCAGATATAAGGACATAAGTCAATCAACACGCTAAATAGATTAACTTATATAAAAACAGCTAAACTTGTTACAAACATTATCATCATTATGACACACGCCATTGAGCAATTATCGTCTAGTTTGTGTTTTTCACACGTCTGTAGGGAACAGACGAAAGAAAACTATAAGTCGAGATAAACAAAGGATGATAGTGTGAAAATATCTATTGGGGCTGAAATTTTACATCAAGATACTGAAAATATCGAAATAAAAATATCGAGATAAACACATATTTCAAATATAGATAAAGAAGGAAGAAAATCGGGACTTTCAAAATTTCATCGAGATAACGAAATATCGAGAAAAGCGATGTCGAGATAACGATAGTCGACTGTATGTGAGACAAGTTTAAAGAAATCCTTTAAAGGATACAGGATTTATAGGACAGAGACAATTTTTGTTATAATTGTCTTTCAAGGGTTACCTTTAACTTGAGCAGACTCAGCAGCAGCATCGATTCTTTAAGTGGCATAGGATTTTCAGAGCAGACATAGACTTATCTGACATGTTGCATTATAGTTATCACATACAATATTTAAGTACTTACTGCCTTGCTTCTAAAATACCAGTACCACTTGTTTGTGTTAATATAATGCAGTACCAAACTTTTGAATGAGCAATTCTGAGTATTGGTACCTGTAGTACAAATGTACTTGCAAAAAGAGTGCAGAATGTACATCAGTACCAGTTCCATTACTAGTATTGTGTGTCTGCTAATAACAAATACCTTTTCTTCAAGGCTTGGCTCTAGAAAATAACATCTGTTTTGATAATAATGCACATCTGGTTGGTAGATCTTAATGTAATAGGTGATAGTAGCCAAACATGTTTCAACTGGTATTTTGCCTGTCATAATGACTTTTTCCAACTCATTCAGATTTATCACTGTCATAAAAGTACGTGGTAGGAGATGATCCATCACAAATAATGGCTCCAAATTTTCTAAAATTGTCTCCAATTTTCTATAAAACAACACAAATATATACATATATTGTATAAAAGGGGGCCATTGGCCTGAATTCGCTCACCTGAGTACTAGATGCAATTGATATACAAAAGTGAAGTTACCAGGTCTTAAAAATATATAAAACAGGGTTAACTTTTTTGTGTAGGTAAGAAATTGATGTTTTTAGACAATACATCAAGAAATTTAAAGTAATGTAATAGAAAGAGCACCGAAACACGAGGCTATCTGATTTGTACTAGGGGGCGTAGCCCCCGAGTATTAATCAGATTGCCGAGTGTTTTGGTGTTCTTTCTCTTTTGTATCATAGTCAAACATAAAAGCACGTTCCCTGTTGTCACAATATGAAACCCCGGCAAAAATGAACCAATGAACGAACATCTGAATATGACATTTCTGTCGCTTTCCCTTTCTCTGCCGTCACAATATGTAAACCCCAGCAAAAATGAGCCAATCAATGGACATGCTCTGTAGTGTGGGTAACTTAAATACCCGCGCTCCAGTTACCGCACTGTACATGTATATGTATACGATTTAACCCTGACACATTTTCAACAGAAAGGTCTCCAAACTATGATACAAGATCAAGGTTAAAGTTTGTGGATGGGAACAGTTTTACTATATACATATAAGGAAAACCTATGACCCAGGGGCGGGGCCATTTTGACCCTAGGGCTATAATTTGAACAATCATGGTAGAGTTACACTACATAATGCTTCATGCTAAATATTTTACCTCTAGCCTTTGTCAATTCAGAGTAGAAGCTTTTTTAAGTTTTTACTATATACATACAAAGAAAACCTATGACCCCTGGGACAGTGCCAATTTTAGACCCCAGGGCTATATATGAATAGCTTTGGTAGAGGACTTAATTAGGTGATATCGTATACCAAATATCAAAGCTCTAGGCCTTTAATGTACTTTCAGACAAAAAGATTATTGTTTTTTTTTAACTCCTTTTCTTGCCCCGTGACCTACTTATGCAACAAGCCCGAACCATTAAAACAACTTTCACAGGGGACCACCCAAGGATCATTCCTATTGGTTTTTAAGGAGATGTTGTTAAAAGGAATTGTTGACGACGCACAACCGACGTGGGGGATCACAATAGCTCACCATGAGCACGTTGTGCTCAGGTGAGCTAAAAAAAAAAGGAAATTTATAAATAATCAAGTAGTCTAAAAATTTATTGTTGCAATTGCCATGGTTTAAATGAAAAAATTAAAAGATGTGATGTGTTAAATCTTTTTGAAACTAAAGAAGATGATATACTTTGTCTGCAAGTGGAATGGTTTATGCTATTCTAGTCATAGAAAATTGAATGCCAAAGGTGTTAGGAATTTAATTCAGAAATATTTAAATATTAAAATTAATTCTGTTAAAACTGATGATGATGGATGTTATATAACAGGTATTACAGGTATTGTTTGACTCTTCAACTTTTATATTAGTCAATATTTCTGCACCTAACATTATATAGTCCAAATTTTTTGATGATATTGATACCGTTAATGAAAATGACTTTCGAAAAAATTTGCTAGGACTATAATATAATCTAGTAAAAATCCTGAATTAGATTATCATAATAGTATATCAAAAAATAATAATATTAAGGCTAGGAATGTTTTACTTGTTATCATTGAAAATAAAATACTTGTTGACCCATTTAGAGAGTTGCATGGTATACATGACAAAGCACAAATCTTATACAGCAAGGTAGACTAGATTTGTTTCTTTTATCAACTGATTTGTATCAATATGTAAGACAAGAGGGCCAAGATGGCCCTGGACACTCACCTGACCGTCATTTCATTGTAGGTCAAGCGTTATCAAAAGTAGGTCAGCTGATATCAAAATTCAATCAGCATCAAAATTACAACCCTGGTCCACTTTTCAAATCATGTAAACAAGATTTTTGTATTTTTAGCTCCTGTGTCCTAGTTTTTTAATTGAGATGACCCATGTTTGAAATCATCTGAGCAATTACCTATACAAGCATCCTGACCAAGTTTGATGACAAATGAGTCAAAAATGTGACCACTAGAGTGTTAAAAAGATTTTTGCATATATTGGCATTGTGACCTAGTTTTTGCCCCAAGGTGACCCATATTCAAACTTGACCTAGAAATCATCAAAACAGATTTCAGACCAATGTCCAGGATATTTGGATCAAAACAGTAGCTACAAGTGTTAAAAAGATTTTGCAATTTTAGCTCCTTTGACCTAGTTTTTCATCCGAGATTACCCATATTCATTCTCATTCAAGCCATTACCTAAACAAGCATCCTGACTTAGTTTGATGACAATTGAGTCAAATGTGACCAATAGTGTTAACAAAGTTTTTCTATTTTTAGTTCCTGTGACCTAGTTTTCATCAAAGATGACCCATGTTCAAACTCAACCGAGCAAAAATCTAGACAAGCATTCTGACAAAGCTTGATAATAATTGAGGCAAAAATGTGATCACTTGTTTTGTTTGTTTTGTTTGTTTGTATTATTTTACGCCTTTCCCAACAGTATTTCTGTCATATAGGCAGGTAGTTTCCTAACCATTGTTCCTGGAGAGTTACACCAGTACTAGACTACCTTCCTCCGCGCTAAACTACCAAAGCATCTCCCGGGGATCAAACCCATGCCAGAGAGGTAACTAAATAAGAAGTCATCGACTCTAACTTCTCGACCACAGAGGCGGTATATAACCACTAGAGTTGTGACAGTAGCCACTAGAGAGTAAACAAGATTTTTTTTTTTTTAGCTCCTGTGACCTAATTTGTCATTCCAGATAACTCATATTCAACCTCATCTGAGCAATTATCTAAACATGAATTCTTACCAAGTTTGATGACAATTGTGGCAAAAATGTGACCACTATAGAGTGTTAACAAACAAATGTGGACAGAAAACAAACATTCAACGATCCTTAAAGCTCACTCTTAGCTAGCTTCAGATTCATGTGAATCATGGAAAAGGTTTATGGAAATTTAATAATGATTTAAGTTTATAGAAATCAAATTTGCTCAGAAAAAGAGACACCTTTTACAGACAAGAATGATGGAACATTTATATATGACCAAAGGAATATATTAGAAAAAACTTGTTATTATGAAAAGTCCAACATTGAAAGAGAATTGAGAAATTGTGCAGTAAGTACTAAGTTGACAAATTATGAATCTCTACAGCTTGAAGGTTTACTAAGAATAAAGAATATGAAAAATGATAAAAGCCCGGTATGTGATGGGTTTACAACAAAATTTTCAAAACGTTTTGGGACAAAATGGGCATTTCATAGTAAGTACAATAAATTATGGAAATTATGTAAATACTTTTTCAAGAAGTCATATAAATTGGCATCTGGTAGTATAGCAAATAGAATTAAAGGTGTTGTAGTTATAAAGTGTCAAAAGACCAAACCGGATTTGTTCAAAATAGATACATGTATATTGGAGAGAATACTAGATTATTGTATGATATATGAAATTTACTGAACATAATACATCCCAGCTTTAATTATGTCACTATCAATTTTGAAAAAGCTTTTGATACATTATCTTTTAAATCTATAGAAAAATGCCTTTCACTGTTTAATTTTGGCCCTATGTTTAGGAAACGGATATCATTATTTTTTATACAATACTGAAACTTGTGTCATACGAAATGGTTTTTTATCTACAATTTTCAAAGTTAAATGAGGTTGTAGGCAAGGTGATCCAATTTCACCCTATATTTTCATGTTATGCACAGAGATATTGGCTATTAGAACAAGAGCCATGTTAACATGGCCATCCCCTGCCGAATGTGTTTGCTCATTGGAAGACTGTATTATGTATAAGAGCAGAATAATTCAATTTTAAGAGGTCTTTTGGTAATGAAAATTGATGGCTGAAATGATTACAGATTTGAAATCAATATGAATACTGATGGCTGAAAATAACAAAGGGCAATAACTGAAAAATAATGCAAGGTAGGCTATCATTCTTGTGTGCTGCACTCCTTCTCAATGAGATCTATCCACCTATGAAGTTTCAAGTTGATACCTCTAACAATTTTTGAGATAAGCTCTAGACAAAAAGTATGAAAAAAAACAAAGGGCAATAACTCAAAAATTATACAGGGCAGAGTTATCATTCTTGTGCACAGCATTCCTCCTTCATATGATCTATACCTATGAAGTTTCAAGTTGATACCTCAAATACTTTTTGAGATAATTATGCTCCGGACAAAAATGTCGAACGGAAGGATGGACGGATGGAAGAATGGAGACTATTACTATATCCTCAGCCACCTTTTTGGCGGGGAATAATAAAACAATGTTATGATGTTAACGGTACACTAATAGATGGTGAAGAATATAAAATTACACAATTTGCAGATGCTACATCATTATTGTAAGATGGTTCTGAAAAATTGTTAAATAAACCTTTAAAATTGTTTCAGAGATTTCTGGACTAAAAGTAAATTTTGATAAAACCAAAGTCATGTTTCATAGAAATATTTTCAGTACTTTTTGCATTATCACAGTATCCAGTTTTGTAGACAGACAAACAGACAGACAGATGGTAGGTAAACCTAAAGTCCCCTCTTGTTAAATTGGTTGACTAATAAATAAGTAGTAAACAGCCACTTTGTTACATTTTTTAAATATTTTCTTAGTCAGAAAAGATGCACAATCATGTCAAACTGTCAGAGTTATGAATTGAAGTGTGATATTGCTTTGAAGTTCCAAGTTCCTAGTTAATATCTCTACCAGTTCCTGCTATGAGATGAGACGGGACTTGACGGGACATGACTCCTATATAGCTAACTAAGTTTGGAGAGAGTACATTAATATTATGTAGAATTTTACAGAATACATTTAAAGTTCAGCCTGGAATGAAATACTGTATTTTAAACTTTCAAATTATAAACATTATATATGCATTTCTTATGTCTGAAAAACTTAATAAACATTTCATAAGTTTAAATGTTTAATGTAGCTAATATAAGGAAGCTGCTGCATTAAAAACAGACATAAAATCAAAGCACAGAAGGCGCTGAATTTGTTTCGGTCTCAGAATGTCATAAAGGTGAAGGTTGTGAGATTATAAACCAATTTGTTTTTGTAAAGTGCCACCAATGCTTTCCAGCGTTTTAATTGTAGTAAATTGGCTATAAGACTAATTTAAACACTGATATTCAATCCAATGTTTATTTGACTTAAACAATTTGAAAAAAAATGAGTTGCCTTAACTGGGATTTGAACTCCAGACCTCTCGCTTCCTAAGCGAGCGCGCAAACCCCTCGGCCACGGTGAAGTTATTTGTTAACAGCCTGAAGAAAACTATATTATTCTATATTAGGGTTTGTAACGACGCTAACTGTTGTTTAACACAGATGTAAATAATCATGGAGCTTACTATAAGCATGTATATCTATAAAGAATAAAACAATATAAGAAATCGTTGACCATTCAGGAATTATTTTGCTTGAAAATTAATGCGCCTGTCATTTGACCATCTTTACGCAGTGATCTCCCCTGAATTTTTCGGCGTTACTTTACATATAAAGGGAAGTAACGGCTTCAAAAAAGCGAACTACTTTCGGCACTTGCAATTAACAGCATTAGAATCTGAAATTTCGCTACCATTATTTGTTTGGTCTGACGAACCAAACAAATAAAAACTAAATACTCACATTGCCCATTGTCCTGTTTTTGCTTTGAAATACTCCACCTCATTTTCAATTTTAGCAATTCCCCACCACACAGGTTTTTCACTGTCATGTGAAACATCTACAATCTGAGTTTCAAAGGGTGATGATTCGCCAGAGAAAAAATGTACCCACGGCATTAGGTAGAGCCAGGATGGATCTTTTGTTGTTCCTGCCAAAGTTTTTACTAAAGACAGCAATATATCCGAAATAGACTGCCTGAATTAAAAATGAACAATTAAAAAGATAAGAGGGCCATGATGGTCCTGAATTGCTTCCAAGAAACAACTGTTTTTCAATGATTATAGAAATAATTTTTCAAATGAACTTAGAAAGACAAGTCCAGCTCAACTTCAACTTGCCCCTTTAGTTATAAAGTTTCCTGACACTGATTGTTTTTTGTTGTTGTTTTTTTCTTTATAGTAAAAATATTAGGAAATGCACAACTAGGGATGGTACTGATCACTCCTGTGAAGTAATGTTGAAATCCCAAATGAAAGCCGAGCAAGATTTTTCTATTTACAGCTCTAGCAGCCATTTTGTGCAGTAAAGCTGAACAAACCAGCAATATGCACACAGGGATGGTACTGATAATTTCTGTGAAGTTTCATTGAAATCCCACCAGTAGTTTGACCTGTGAAAGCCGGACAAGATTTTTCTATTTACAGCTCTGGCAGCCATTTTGTGCAGTAAAGCAGAACATACCAGCAATATACACAACTAGGGATGTTACTGATAATTTCTGTGAAGTTTCATTGAAGCGAAGCAAAACCTGCTGCTGAAATGCACAACTATGTATGTTACTGCTCACTACTGTGAAGCTGCAATGAAATCTTGCCAGCAGTTTGACCTGTGAAAGCCTGACAAGCTTTGAATGTGGACAAACGGATGTGCATACTTACAAATTGGTTCTTTAGTGACTTTTCTTTTGATCGTTTTAGTTTTATTTAGTCATACAAGCCCTACAAAAAGGATACACACTTAGTAACAAGAGCCATTGCCAGGCAGGGGCAACTCTCCACTTTTTTACTTTTTCTAACAGCAAATAAATAAAAGGTTGTAACAAATCTTTAACTAGAACTATCACTAAATGTGACTAATAACCCTGCAAGACTGCTTTGGAAATGAGGATGTTAGTAGTGACAGAATACCTTGCAAAGAATTGAAATAGAGTTATGGTTGTGGGCAATTAAAGATAGTCGTTGTTAATGTATGTTGTATTCCTTTTAATTAGGCTGACAATTGTAAGAATTTTAATTGAATTCCAATGGAAACTCCAATGACAAGAAAAAGGAACAAAGGGCAATAACACTACAAATACTGAAGATGGAGTTATGGTTACATTGCACTTCCTCTCATTGCCCTAGACCATTGCATGAAAGTGTATTTAATTCCAACTACAAGTTTTCAAGTTATGCACTGGACAAAAAAGTAACAAAGGGCAATAACTGTAACTTGTCAAAATAGAGTTATGGTTCTTGTGCAGTGCACTTCATCTCACTGGCCTTGACCATTGTATGAAGTTTCATTGAATTCCAACCATTAATTTTCAAGTTATGCACTAGACAATAAAAGGTAACAAAGGGCAAAAACACTAAAATGAGTCAAGAAAGTACTACTGTTTCTGTGCCCTTCGCTTCCTCTCAAATATACTTGACCATTGTATGAAATTGTATATAATTCCAACTAGTAGTTTTCAAGTTAGGCTCTAGACAAGAAAAAAGCAATGGAAAAGGAACAAAGGGCAATAACTCTATAATTACTCTGGACAGAGCTATGATTCCTGTGCACTGCACATAAATCTTAATGTGCTTGATGATTGTATGAAGTTGTATCGAATTCCAACCAGTACTTTTCAAGTTATGCTCCATACAAGGAAAAGGAATAAAGGGCAATAACTCTGTAATTAGTCAAGACAGAGTATGGTTCTTGCGCACTGCATTTTCTCTTAATATGCTTGATGATTGTATGAAGTTGTATTGAATTCCATCTAGTATTTTTCAAGTTATGCTCCAGACAAGGAAAAGTAATAAAGGTCAATAACTCTATAATTAGTCAAGTTGGAGTTATGGTTCTTGTGCACTGCACTTCCTCTTAATGTGCTTGACCATTGTATGAAGTTATATTGAATTCCAACCATTAGTCTGTAAGTTATGCTCCAAACAAAAGAAAGCTATGGAAAAGTAACAAAGGGCAATAAATCTGTAATAAATTAAGATAGAGTTATGGTTCTTGTGCAATACACTTCCCCTTATTATGCTTGACCATTGTATGAAGTTGTTTTGAATTCCCACCAGTAGTTTTCAAGTTATACTCCGGACAAGGAAAAGTAACAAAGGGCAATAACTCTGTAATTAGTCAAGATAGAGTTACAATTCTTGTGCACTGCACTTCCTCTCAATGTGCTTGATCATTGTATGAAGTTGATTTGAATTCCAATCATTAGTTTTCAAGTTATGCTCCAGACAAGGAAAATGCAACGGACCGCTGGAACGACCAACAAACCGACCACTGAGTGACTCCTATATAACCCCCAAACTTCGTTTTGGGGGTATAAAAAGAAAAGGAATAAAAAGTAGTTTTTCCTTTTTTAAAACTTTTAATAGGTAGGTCTGGTCACACTTATTGTTTTGTCTTAGCATGAATGCACTTTGTCCAAATTTGATAGCTGAACATCAAAGGACAAGACAGAAGGTCATTTTCTTCAAAGTCTAGGTTAGCTGAGCACATAGCCCAAATTTCATACCTGCACATCAAAGGATGAGAAAGTATGTCCCTTCACCAAATCATCTAAGTCAGCTGACAACAAAGTTAAATTTTACATCTAAAACTGTGCACATAGCTGTACATCATTTCATAGCTATACATCAAAGGATAACAAGAGCCATGTTATCATGGCCATCCCCTGCCGAATGTGTTTGCTCATTGAAAGAAGCAGTTTTGGAGATGAAGCGCAGACAAGATTTTTCTCTTTATAGCTCTGATGGCCATTTTGTAAAGCGGAGCAGAATGTGCCTGCGACATGCACAACAAAAGATGGTACTGATCATTCCTGTAATGTTTCAATGAATTTCCCCAAGTGGTTTTGGAAATGAAGCGCAGACAAGATGACCAGACGGACGGAAGGACAGAGCATAAAAAATACTATGGAAAAGTTTTTTACACTGAAAGATCAAATGGAGAACTCTGTGACGGATCTTGTGCACTGCAATACAGGTCAAGAAAAAAAGCTTGCAATACCAAATTTGGAGACCATCAACTTATAGCTCTAGACAAGCTTATTAAGTAGGAAAATTAACTAAGGAAAATAACTCAAAAATCATGAAGTGCAGAGTACAAGTTCTTGTGCACTGCACCTCTTCTCAATGAGCTCTATTGTCCTATGAAGTTTCAAGTCCATAGCTTTTATAGTTTAAGAGAAATGGCCTACGCAAAAATAAAGTATGAAAATTTACAAAGAAAAATAACTCAAAAAATAAGAAGTGCAGAGTAATGATTCTTATGCACTGCACTTCAGGTTATTTAAAAGCATGCATACCAAGTTTGTAGTCAATTATACCTATAATAACTGAATTATGCTCCGGACAAGTCTAAGGGGACTCTGCCACCAACACCTCCAATGCCCCCAAGGAAAGTTACCCCTATATGTCGACATTTTCAAGGCGACACAAAAAACGTTGTAAGCCAGTTACACAAAAAATAACTAGAAATGTGTCCATAGGACACGGATGCCCCCCCCCCCCCCCCCACGCCACTGTTCTGTCAATCTTATGACTCTAGGTCAAATATTTTTTGGACTACATGTGCCACAAGTTGAAAACTAAAAGTCAACAAAGGGCTAAATTAGGTCGCAGCAAAAATTCCTTCCTTTACTACCATCTACACATTAAGGTTGTTAATCCCTGGAAGTTTAAGCAAAATCTGCCATCTGGTTTAAGAGGAGTTGCGTTCACAAAATTTCTATATAGTATATAATGAAAAAATCAACAAAGGGCCATAATTCTGTTAAATTTGGTTGCAGCAAAAATTCCTTCCTTTACTGCCATTTACACATTAAGGTTGTTCATCCCTGGAAGTTTAAGCAAAATCTGCCATCCGGTTTAAGAGGAGTTGCATTCATAAAATTTCTACATAGTATATTGTGAAAAAATCAACAAAGGGCCATAATTCTGTAAAATTTCGTCGCAGCGAAAATTCCTTCCAGGTTCCTTTACTACCATCTACACCTTAAGGTTGTTCATCCCTGTAAGTTTAAGCAAAATCTGCCATCAGGTTTAAGAGGAGTTGCGTTCACAAAATTTCTACATAGTATATAGTGAAAAAATCAACAAAGGGCCATAATTCTGTTAAATTTGGTCGCAGCAAAAATTCCTTCCTTTACTTCCATCTACACATAAGGTTGTTCATCCCTGTAAGTTTAAGCAAAATCTGCCATCCGGTTTAAGAGGAGTTGCGTTCATAAAATTTCTACATAGTATATAGTGAAAAAATCAACAAAGGGCCATAATTCTGTTGAATTTGGTCGCAGCAAAAATTCCTTCCTTTACTTTCATCTACACATTAAGGTTTTTCATCCCTGTAAGTTTAAGCAAAATCTGCCATCCGGTTTAAGAGGAGTTGCGTTCACAAGATTTCGGGAAGTACGGACGGACGGACCAATTTTTCAGGTTTATGAGCTATTTCTATTGTTATTTCCTTTTGTTTCTTGTGGGCTAACTATTGTTTCCTTATGAGCTAACTATTATTTATGGAATGAAGTCCTTTGTTCTCTTTTGTCCCAGTGTACCGTTAGTTAGCTCATATACCTAAAATGTTTGTGCGGACGGACGGACGGACAAGTGCAACGCTATATGCTCCCACATTGTGGGGGCATAAAAATTGCAATAATTTGACCTTCAAGGTCAAGGTCACTTAAGAGTGAAGGTCAAGGTCTGTCTGGTTAACTTGAAGGTCTATCCTAAAAGATTATATGTCTAAGTTTGGAGACAATCCATTCAAAATAACAAAGTTACAGCCAAAAATAGCAAAATAGAAGCAAAATTTAGACATTTGACCTTGAAGGTCATGGTCATCTGTGAATGAAGGTCAAGGTTAGTCTGTTCTACTAAAAGATCTTGTCTCATTTGTTGTAGCGGCCAAGTATGAAGACAATACTCAAAGAACTTAAAATTTATGGTCAAGGTACAAGTTTGCAGATGGCAACACCAACATGACTGTAACAATACCTCTATCTTTTTTATGAATTTTTATTTTCAAAAAAAAAAAAAAAAAAAAAAAAAAAAAAAATCGAACTAAAAATATGTACTGTGAATTTTTCTAATAAATTTGGAACAATTTATGATTTTTTTTAAAACTAAAATATATAAAAGGGATATGAAATGAAGTAGAAATTGTTATTAGAAACAGAATTGAATAGAAATTCTGTATGTCATTATTTAGTACAAATCTGGTTCTGTACCTTTTTTCTTGAAAATTCTGTTCCATAAATTGGTAATTTTGACATTGTTTTTCTTTCTTTCCTCTTCTTATAAGCATTGCTTTGCAAAGTGTCTGAATAAATTTTGAATCCTGTAGGTTAATATTCAATGTATGTAAGGCACATACAACAAGAATACATCCGTTCAAAATTTGTTCTCGTTCTCCCTCACTTGCTGTTGACTGATCTCTGTCTATTTTCCACAGATCAAACATTGCTTGGACCAAGTTCTTCCCAAACTAAAAATGATATCAAATGAGATTTGGTAAACTTTGCAACATCTTTAAAGTATAGTAAATTATATCATTATAAATTACATAATAAGGATTAAAGACATGCCTTGAATTCACATTGATTTAGTGTAAACAAGTTCATATTCACATGATCCTTATTTCGCAAAAATACCTTTCCTGAATTATTTTGTGGATTTATGAATTTGCACCTGCAGAGTCAGAAATTGAAATTTGCAAATTTGTTTGTATCTTACTTTGCAAAATAACTGGGAAGGAATACTTTATTACAAATTAATTTCCTTACTGTGCCAAACTTATTCTCAGAAAATTTTCCATAAATGTATTATTTATTATGAATTTTTTTTATACTTTGTCATATTTGGATATAATGTATAATAATATACAGTATTATTTGATAATTCCCTCATTAAAGATAGAGTTCTCCTCTGTCTTTCTCATGATTTTTGTGGTTGTTTATCAACTATATATTTTACAGTAAACAATATAAGTATTCAAAGATTCATGTGAAAGAGCCATTGAAATATCATTCAGAACTTTGTGAACATGATCAGGGTCGAGAAATAACCTGACAATTAAGCATAGATCATTAACTTAGACTTAACTGACCGAAGAATAAAGATATTCACGATCAGATAAGTAGAAATAAACCTGACCTATTATTCCTATACAATAGATGTACAAGTAAAATGGTTTCCTGCGGTGAACATTTTAATGATATAAAGATATTTCATTTAACTATAAACATTTGTATCAAGAATATAGTTGACAATTGAATAAACGATCAATATAGAAGAAGCTAGGTCTTTGGAAACTGATGACCGTTGAAGACCGGAGAAGGTCGAACATAAAACAATTATTTCTTTTTAAGAAAATGATTAAATAGGCCTACCATTTTATGAATAATTCCGAGCAAAAAAATCAATAAAGTAAACACACAAGTTTACGCAGAAAATATCTCTATTTATTATGGCAGATGCCACTACGAATATTTTAACTTTGTAGATTTTCAGTGTAAACAATTTATTGTTTGTAAAATTTGAGATAGATATTAAAGAAACATTGATAATTTTCAAACACATCATTCAAGTTTTTCCACCTTAAACGGTAAAATAATTATAGAAAATTAGAAAAATCACGTAATAGTTTTTGTTCTTAATTAGGGGTAATTCGGACTAATTCCCTACAGGTAAATCCGTAACGTACCGGCAAACGGTATTTAGCTAGGATTTCGAAAAGGTCAATTTACCAATCATGTACGGTTAACAGATCACATGCTCCTCCATGTACCGAAAACAGGTCACGTGCCCCTCCATGCCTCAAAAGTTAAACCCGTACCAATACCCTGCGGTCTGGAGACTAAAGTATATGCTAAAAGTGTCATTGGAACACATAAATGTGTATTATTCCCTGCGGTCTGGAGACCGCAGGGTATTGGCACGCGTTCAAGTTTTTAGACATGGAGGAGCACGTGACCTGTTTTCGGTACATGGAGGAGCATGTGATCTGTAAACCGTACATGATTGGTTAATTGACCTTTTCGAAAACCTAGCTAAATACCGTTTGCCGATACGTTACGGATTGACCTCTAGGGAGTTAGTCCGAATTACACCTAATTAAGAACAAAAATCTATTACGTGATATTTCTAATTTTCTATAATTATTTTGCCGTTTAGGGTGGAAAAACTTGAATGATGTCTTTGAAAATTATCAATGTTTCTTTAAAATCTAACTCAAATTTTACAAATACTGAAAATCTACAAAATTAAAATATTCGTAGTGGCATCTGCCATTATAAATAGAGATATTTTCTGCGTAAACTTGTGTGTTTACTTTATTTTTTTTGCTCGGAATTATTCATAAAATGGTAGGCCTATTAAATCATTTTCTTAAAAAGAAATAATTGTTTTATCTTCGGCCGTCTCCGGTCTTCAACGTCACCAGTTTTCCAAAGACCTTCTTCTATATTGATCGATTATTGTTAACTATATTCCTGATACATAGAGGATATTAAATGAGTGTAAGTTCAATACTAAATTTATTGCACGAGTTGAATAAAATTATATTACGCCAGCCTCTGGCGAGCAGAATATTTTTTTATTCAACTCGTGCAATAGATTCAGTAATGAACTTACACGAATTTAATATTCTATTTATCACATACCAAAAATTAAGGCCGTTTAAAATGATCATTGACGCGCCTATAGTATAACGCTAACATTTAGCGCGTCTTTACACTATGTTTGTATAACGCTAATGAGGTTAACGTCAAAATATATGCACGGCCGTGCAATAACATATTTATAGAGTCGCAAAATCGGCACGGGTGTGTGATAAAATAGTTTATTTATCCCCCCAACAATGTTGAAAATAGTTAAATGAAAAATCTTTATATCATTAAAAATGTTCCCGCAGGAAACCATTTTACTTGTTTACATTTTCCAGCTGATGAATTCAGTTGACCTGCCAAATGATGAGACAGCACTGTCACAATGTAACAAAAATACCATAATCATCTTTTGGAAAACAAATGACTATTTCAAATAAATAAGCCATTAATTTTAGTAATTACTATTCTATAAAAGAATCATAACATTTTAACAGACACTTGACAGATCTATCTTATGTGACGTTGCATGACCCATGACAGTGCTATATTTAGCGGAGCACTGTGATTGGATAACTAATTCTGTTACTGAATCTCATTGGCTCAAAGTACTTAAATTGAATGTTTAGCAGTGGCCAAATTTCATTTGAAATTAACACCCCAAAGTCTATAAATACAGATGCTCACTTCAGTTAATCTCAGAGCAGCTTCTCCAACCATAATACACCGACTAACAAGGTTATTATAAACTTGAACAGTAGCTCAACCCTATCTGTCAAACAACAGAAATCAGCCGAACATTCCACTAAATAAATATTCTGTTAGAAGATTTAACTATAATTTATGCAAAACATGTACATATTACCCGTTCTTTAACAACTTAACATTGATGAACTCATTACAGTAACAATACCATTTGAGGGCAATAATTTATTTATTTTACAAAATTCAATCATTTATTTATTTATTATATCTCACTGTACTTGAGCATTTTGGTATATTGAAGTGTTTATATTCTTTTTCATTGACTAAGTTTTATAATTAATTACCGTACTTTTAAACTTCAGTAGTCTTAAAAGTTTTCCTGACAAAAACAAACAACTGCAGTGACAATGGTAACAATATACTTGTTAGTAATATTATACTTGAACATCAGTGTGATAAATTGTCCGTTTATCATTATTGTTTTTGTTAAAATTTTCTATCATTATCTAAACAACATGTATTCACATTTGTCTGTAAAGTGCATTATTATATATATGTTGATATTGAGAGGATACTGGATGTCAATGATACTAAAATAACTAGAAATGTGTCAATAGTCAACGGGTGCCCAAACACTCACTGTTTAGTCAATCTTATGACTTTAGGTCAAATATTTTATGGGCTACATGTGCCACAAGTTAAAAACTAAAAATTGTTTACAAAGTCAAGGGCAAGATTAAGAAATACTGAATAAATCCACAAGTAAACCCCAAGGTGCATAAGTACATGGCTGACCAAAATTCTTGTAAACTTTCAGACCGACAGGTCAAATATTTTTTGAGTTATGCATGAACAAGTTGAAAATTGCAAATTTATACTAAGTCAAGGGCAATTACTCTTAACAAAACTGAAAAAAAAATCCACATGCAAAACCTCAGGTGCATAGCTTCACAGTGATGTTGATCATTATTTCTGTAAAGTTGGTTGATTCTAACTCAATTAGCACTCGAGTAACAAATAACACTACATAATGGAATAGTTTTCACTAAGTCAAGGACAATAAATCAGACAAAACAGAAAAAATCCACAAGTGAAACCCCAGGTGCACAACTTCACAGCATGCTAAGCAACATTCCTGTTCCTAGTGTTTCATGACACTAGATCAAATACTTTTGAGTTAGGTGCAACACAAGTTAAAAATCGTAAATGTTTCAAAGTCAAGGGCAATTACTCTAAAACACTAAACATATCCAGATGACAATACACAGGTGCACAACTACACATGCTGATCAACATTCCTGTAAAGTTTCATGACTCTAGGCCAAATACTTTTTGAGCTACATGTGACACAAGTTGAAAATTGCAAATATTTACTAAGTCAAGAGCGACTGTAATAAAACAGACTAAATCCACAAGTGAAACTACAGGTGCACAACTACACATGCTGAGCAACATTCCTGAAAGGTTTCATGACTCTAGGTCAAATGCCTTTTGAGATATGTGCGACACGAGTTGAAAATTGCAAATTTTTGCTATGTCAAGGGCAATAACTCTAAAAATACTAAATATATAAACACAAAAATACCCAGAGGCACAACTACACATGCTCAGGGATCATTCTAGGGGGCGATTTCCGCGATTTCTCGCAAAAAAATCACCAAAATCTCAGAGAAATTTGTGAAATGAGAGAAAATCTCGCACGGCAATTTGAGCCGGAAAATGTCTAATCACAATCAAAAGAATGCTAAAGTTACACAAAAATATGATGAAAAATTCACGATTCCCATCAAGAATTTAATTTCAAATTGTTTATTAATGAAATTGGTGTAAAAAAACTCCAAAAAGTAGTCCAACACTTTGAATTATTTAGCCTAAAATAATTGCCGATCGGAGACCGCAAATTCACCGTACGGTATGATGGCTAACCTTTATCTATCTGTAAGTCGAGAATTTACATAAAACACTTTTAATTGATTTTAATAAAAATCGTTAGACACAGACTAACATAAAAATGGACATGTAAAAAACAAATACTGGTAAAATTTGTCTTCTAAATGTCACATCAACCACGGTAAATTTTGCCGTAAAGAACAAATTAAAAAAAATTGTTTTACGATTCCTGATGAAATAGCCGATAATAAATATTCTTTTATTGAACAAAAATATTTAATTTTATATTATTGCAATCAGCAACAGCTAGAATTGTGAATGTTTCAGCAGAAAACAGACAAATATTCATTTGTCACATATTTTCGCGATGTCGTGAAAAAAATACTAAAAGGAAGCTGAGTGTTATTTAAAGGTGTTTTATAACACTAAAAATGATGTTTATGAATAAAAATTACTTTAGGTATACATTGTTTATATTTGTGGATATGGAGATATTTGTCATTATGTGTTCAGGTCACATATTCAATGAATATTTTTTTAAAGGAGGGAGGTGTGTGAAGAGAATCATAAAGAAAACAAAATGTAAGGTTATAAAAAATATTCTTCAAATCTCAACAATCACTTCTGTACAGTACAGTGTTGTCCATTAGGAACATTGGCTGCAAATAATAGTTGTAGTAGATATCCATGTATAATTCTTTTATATTTCAGAATAAAAGTGTTATATTTATTTTTCACAACTAGAATTTTATTATGTTTAAAAATTCACAAAAGAAAAGGCATAGGATGTGTTAAAAAAGTGAAAACAAAAATCACTGTAATAAACAGAGCTACATCTTCTTATATCCTCATTAGATAAACAATGTTTATATGTACAGTGATTTTAAAAAGTTAGAAATTTCTATATTTTTAACCTCGCCCATCATGACAATTAAATATCTCAAGAAAATCTAATTTCTCTCATTAAAATTTCTCAAATGAGAGAAAATCTCTCACTAAAAATCCTGACCAGAATGATCCCTGCATGCTGACCAATATTCATGTCTCTAGGTCTAATATTTTTTTAGCCATGTGCAACACAAAAGTGAACAAACAGATGGATGGACACATAGACAGACTTTTCAAGGGTAAATCTAAATGTCCCCACCCCATAGTGGGGGCACAAAAAGGTTCTAAAGTATAAAATAAAGCAAAACAAGATGTTTGTAAACCACACATGTTCATGTGATCAGGCAATTGTAACTGACTTTTGACCTAGTGACCAAAAAATCAATAGGAGTTATCTACTGGTCATGACTTGTCACTAGGTAATTGTGACAGTAAAGGTTGTGTGCAGCAATTTTATGACAAAGTTATCATAAATCATACCAAATATGCATAAATTTTATGATTTAAATGACAGCCAATTTGTTATATTACATTAGACCTTGAAATGTGTTGAATGAAAAATATAAACCAAGGCAACTTGAGTTGCTGAGTTATTGGTTGGTGACCATCTCTACTTACAAGGTCAATGTAACTTTGACCCTTATCAATAGGGGTTATCTACTGGCCAAGAACAATAGACCTGTGAAGATTGAAGGTAAATGACTCATGAGTTGTTGAGATATTGATAAGAAAGTGTTTTTACCTATAAGGTCAATATTATCTTGACCTCTAATCCCTTGACCCCAAAAATCCATTGAGGTCATCTTCTCACCAAAAGCAATGCATCTGTGAGGTTTGAAAGTCCAGGGTCGATGGGTTGTCCAGTTATTGACAGGCAATCATTTAGACATACAAGGTCAATGTGACCTAGACCTTTGGGTGACCCCTTGACCCCAAAATTAAAACCAATGCACCTATGAACTTTGAGGGCCAAAGGCCCATGTCTTGTCAAGTAATTGATCTGAAACAGTTTTAACCTACAAGGTCAGTATGACATTGACATTTGACCCCTTGACCAAAAATCAATAGGGGCCATTTGTGACCTAGTTTTTCATTCGAAATGACCCATGTTCAAACTTATCCGAGGGATTACCTTGACAAGCATCCGATCCTGACCATGTTTGATGACAATTGAGTAAAAAATGTGACCACAAGAGTGTTTACAAGATTTTTTCATATTTGGGAGGTGTGACCTAGTTTTTGACCACAGGCGACCCATACTCAAACTTAATCTATAAATTATCAAAACAAAGTTTAACTTTCAGGCAAATTTCAAGGATATTTGGATCAAAACAGTAGCCTCTAGTGTTAACATGATTTTCTATTTCAGCTTCTATGACCTAGTTTTTCATCCGAGATAACCCATGTTCGAACACATCTGAGCAATTACTTAGACAAGCATCCTGACCAAGTATGATGACAATTAAGTCAAAAATGTGGACCACTAGAGTGTTAACAAGGTTTTTCTATTTTCAGCTCCTGTGACCTAGTTTTTCATCCAATGACCCATGTTCAAACTCATCAGAGCTATTATCTAGACAAGCATCCTCACATAGTTTAATGATTGAGGCAAAAAAGTGACCGCTAGAGTGTTAACGAACAAATGTGGACCGACGACGGACATTCAACGATCCTAATTGCTCACCCTGAGCTAGCTCAGGTGAGCTAAAGAGAAACATCACAAAAAAAAATTTTTATGATTATTTTTCCCCAAACTTCCAAATATTTTTTGGCCATTTGTAGAATTGGCATAATTGCAGCCGAAACCCTGCTTTATCATTTTCAGCTGAAAATGAAACAAGAGCTGTCGGTAGGACAGCAACGCTCGACTATTCTTAGTGCTTGATAGTAAAAAAAATGCTTGATACAGTTACCTCCTCCTGTTTACAGGTTGGGGTCATGATGGTGAACAAGTGTGCAAAGTTTCAAAGCCATATGTCAATGGACTTTGCAAATATTTGAACTATTACAAAAACTTTAACGTAAATTCTAAGTCAAAAAAGGGGCATAATTCTGTCAAAATGCTTGATAGAGTTACCTCCTCCTGTTTAAAGGTTGGGGTCATGATGTTGAACAAGTGTGCAAAGTTTCAAAGCCATATGTCAATGGACTTTGAAAAGATTTGAACTATTACAAAAACTTTAACGTAAATTCTAAGTCAAAAAAGGGGCATAATTCTGTCAAAATGCTTGATACAGTTACCTCCTCTTGTCTACAGGTTGGGGTCATGATGGTGAACAAGTGTGCAAAGTTTCAAAGCCATATGTCAATGGACTTTCAAAATATTTAAACTATTACAAAAACTTTAACGTAAATTCTAAGTCGAAAAAGGGGCATAATTCTGTCAAAATGCTTGATAGAGTTACCTCCTCCTGTCTACAGGTTGGGGTCATGATGGTGAACAAGTGTGCAAAGTTTCAAAGCCATATGTCTATGGACTTTGAAAATATTTGAACTATTACAAAAACTTTAACGTAAATTCTAAGTAAAAAAAGGGGCATAATTCTGTCAAAATGCTTGATAGAGTTACCTCCTCCTGTTTACAGATTGGGGTCATGATGTTGAACAAGTGTGCAAAGTTTCAAAGCCATATGTCAATGGACTTTGAAAATATTTGAACTATTACAAAAACTTTAACGTAAATTCTAAGTCGAAAAAGGGACATAATTCTGTCAAAATGCTTGATAGAGTTACCTCCTCTTATCTACAGGTTGGGGTAATGATGGTAAACAAGTGTGCAAAGTTTCAAAGCCATATGTCAATGGACTTTGAAAATATTTGAACTATTACAAAAACTTTAACGTAAATTCTAAGTCGAAAAAGGGGCATAATTCTGTCAAAATGCTTGATAGAGTTACCTCCTCCTGTCTACAGGTTGGGGTCATAATGGTGAACAAGTGTGCAAAGTTTCAAAGCCATATGTCTATGGACTTTGAAAATATTTGAACTATTACAAAAACTTTAACATAAGTGGTTACGCCAACGCCGACGCTCGGTTGACTGCAATAGCTCTACTTATTCTTATCGAATAGTTGAGCTAAAAAATACTTACGAAATCAACAAATGCCATATATTTATCCGACCAACATCTAGTATCTGAGTAATAAATCTTCCACAAAGATTCAAAAAGCATTTGTATTCTACAGAGGATGTTTGAAAAGCCGACTTTGTCCAAATCAGAGAGTTGTGGACAAAACACATGGATAGCTTTCTCTGCATGTTTTTTAAAATCTCCTTTAAAAGAAAACACCTCTTTCACTTTACCCACAGAAACCTTGTCAGGTTCTCTTTCAGCAAACCCATCATACTGGTGCCATTCACCTGAAAAACATAAGTAAAATTTACAGGTTGAGAGATTGATAAATATCTATCAATAAAGAGCATTTAAATCCTGTCATATGTAACAAGAGCCACCGCCAGGCCGGGCAACACTCATTTTTTCTAAATGCGAACAAGTAAAGGTTTAAACAAACATTTAAAAAGAAATTTATATGAGAAAAAAAATAAGGTTTTCCTTTATGGGTTTGATATGACTATAAAGTGGAAGGAAAAGCATCCTGTTTATAATGTCTTGAAGTTTAGAGAAAATAAGGCATTGCTTTCAGTGCCATAGAATGCCAATTAGAAGCCATAAAATCTAACTAAAAGATATTTATTTCCAAGCACAAACAATAAACCTTACAACATTTGAAGAGAACTATTTTGTGTCGCCTATTTTAAGAAAAAGTGAACTCTTTGCCATAAAGATTATCCAGAAATTAGATGGCAGTATGCAAAACCAAAAGAATTCCATTAATCTTATAAACCTTGACAGTCAAGGTCAATTAAAGGTTTAAGTCAAATCTACAATATTCAATTTATTTGTTTGGTAGCAAGTCTTGTTTTGTCCAAGTTTTACATCAAATTCGTATATAAATAACCAAAATTGAATAATTTGACCTTGACGGTAAAGCTCATTTAAAGTTCAAGGTCAATGTCATTTCAACCTTTTAAAGGTCTTCTACAAAAGGTCAATCTGTCCAAGTATGAAGATAAGCTATTCATTTCTTTCCAAGTAACAGTCAATTATATTAAAAATCAGAGAAAATTCAATATTTTATCTTTCAAGGACAAGGTCATAAAAGAGCCACAGTTTATTTCAGTTTGATATACAAGACAGTCTTATCCCAAAGAATGTTGTGTCTTAATATAAAGTATATCAATTCATTAATAATAAAGTTATATCCAGTTACTGCATAAAAAAGAAGAAAATTTCTATAATTTGACCTTCAGCATAAAGGTTATTTGTAAGTGATGGTCAAGGTTTGTCTGGTTAAATTATAGGTCTCTCCTCATGGATTATTGTGTTAAAGTTTGATGATAATTCATTTTGCAATATCAAGGCAGTCTAACGAGAGCTAAATCCCCTTCCACAGCTGACATAAATGTGTACTTCTTGCCTTCAGCAGCCATGACCTTGATGTTGTGCCATGCATATCTTAAACACATGGTCTCATGATGGTGATTATTTGTGCAAAGCTATTAAAATCTTCAATAAGGTCAAAAATTTATGGAGAACAAATAATCTTTTATCCTGCTACTGTCAATATCGTCAGCTGGATAAAGCCTTGCCGGATAAACTTTTCTATCTCCAGTCATTACGTCATATGATGAAGTATTACGTCATATGATGACGTCAACTGTTTAGCAGCAAAACAAAACTACATAAAGATGCTATTTTATCGGGGAAAAGTAAGAATGAAACCATTTTATGATTTAATTATTATAAAAACATGATTGAAAGCAGGATAAATCAAATACATGGTTGATGGCGGGATGGAGAAGGTTTATATCTGGTTCACTGCGAAAGTGAATCTTGGTTCGCTAAAGCTCACCAAGATACACCTTCTCGCTCACCAAATAAACCTTCTCCATCCCGACATCAACCATGTATTCTCTATAACATTAGGGGTAGCAACCTGAATGTAACTTTGGATTAGCAACCTGGATGTTGTGCTCGGCAGACTGTGTCATGGTGGGATCATTTGTAATTTAAAAACCTTTGAATTGTCAGTAAGTTTAATATAGAGCTGAAAATTAGATGTTTTAAAATTGGACCTTAGAGTGTGACTCTGACCTTGGGGGTAGTGATTTGATTATTATGCTCTGCATATCATCTCAAAATGGTGTTCATTTCTACCAAGTTATCTTAAAAACATTGCAGCTGTTTATAAGTTATGTAGCAGCCAAGAAATGTACACTTCTTAACACTTATCTCATAATGGTGATCACTAGTGTCAAGTTATTTCAAACATTTTTCAGTGGTTTCAAAAGTTATGGATTACAGACACAAATGTAGACTTTTTAACACTTGACCTTTAAGTGTGACCTTGACCTTGGGGGGGGGGGGGTAGCAACCCAATTATTAAGCTCTGCACATCGTCTCTCACAAACTCCTCGCAGCGGTTACTTCCCCTGATCTGTACAGTAACCACTGCCACCACAAGTAAATTCGGTCGAATATAGCCGGATATATTTTTTTCACTTTTAATCTTAAAATAGAATACTTAATATCATTTTAGTTTTCTTTCGTTAAATAGTTATGCTTAATGTACAAGAAAGTAAAAAATTATACGTTTAAAAATTATTTTGTAAACATAACGAAAGATATTTTCACTGTGACACCGTTATGCATAGTAACAACCAGTAAACAATGGCAGAATAATAAACAGTTTATTGAACGATTGCACAAAAAGATTTGATCCGGCACTTGTTTTTAAAGTGATAACAAATTGTGTGTCTTGAACTTATTTTGTCTGGTTAGGATGTAATTATAAATCTGCCAGTTTGATATGGGATCCTTGGCGTTCTGAAACTGGCCGCCATGTTTTTGTCACATGATACAACTATCATCACGTGATTTCAGTGGTGGCAGTGGTTAAAGTAGCAAAGCGTGACGTAACCGCTGTGAGGAGTTTGCGTCTCTCAATGGTTATAATGGTGATCACTTGTGCCAAGTTATTTAAACAAATTTCTGCTGTTTAAAAAGTTATGGAGCAGACACGAAATGTAGACTTTTAGCACTTGACCTATAAGTGTGACCTTGTCCTTGGGTGGTAGCAACCCAATTATTGCACTCTGCACATCGTCTTTCAATGGTTATCACTTGTGCCAAGTTATTTCTAAATATTTTCTGCCGTTTAAAAGTTATAAAGTGGTAACAAAAGTGTTATGGACAGACAGACGCACTGACATACTTATAAAACTTTTCATTTGGTCTTTCAAGCCATTTTTTAGTCACATAAGGCCTAAACAAGAGCGATCAGTGATCGCATGTGTCGCCTCATGATCGCCAATTTCATGTTGGGACAAGTTTTATGACAGACCGACAGACAGACGGACAGTGCACAACTAGACTAGGTACTGATCATTCCTGTAAAGTTTGGATAAAATTGCACAAGTAGTTTATGAGGAGTAGTCCGGACAAGCTTTTGTGTATCTGGCAACACACAGAAAAAAGCACCTTTTTATCAAAGGGCCATAACTCAGCCAAAAATCATTCAACCGGAAAACCCGTGCAATATGAGCAAGGACTTCAGCTACAGATCAATCCTGTAAAGTTTCATTGAAATTGCATTAGTGGTATAAGAGAAGTAGTCCGGACAAACTTTAAAAATAAAAATTATTTAAGGGCCATAACTCTTACAAAATCCTTGAACCGGAAAATGCTGAAAATATGTACAACTAGACTTGGTACTGATCATTCCTGTAAAGTTTGGATGAAATTGCACCAGTTGTTTATGAGGAGTAGTCCGGACAAGTTTTGTGACTGACGGACAGACAGACGATGGAGAAGTGATCCCTATATGTCGCCACTACTCCGTAGAGGCTACACAAAAAAAGACACACAAGTACAAAAGAAATAAATAGGGTCAAAGATAATGTACTGTTGCCTATTATTCTCCTAGTCACACAAATACCTCTGTGTTTTTATGGACGGACACAGACAGACGGACAGACAGAAAACATTCCTTTAATCTTTTCCCCGCTTTGCAGGAGATTAACCAAGTTACAGCCACTAAAATCAAGCAAAATTTAGACATTTGATCTAGAAGGTCAAGGTCATATATGAATAAAGGTCAAGTTTAGTCTAGTCTACTTGAAGGTGGGGCCCAGGGCTGCAACAATACACCAAAAGTTCCATTTGATTCGATTTCGATTTCAAATACCCCTATTTGATTTTTTTCAATTCAATTCATGTGTGATAACTATTTTGTCTTTACTTGAAAATTCTGCTTATTTGCTGTAAAAGTAAGTGGCCCAAAACATTTCTTTTTGCATTTCTCTAGTTGTCTCAATTTGATCCATATTAACTTGTTATTACTAGTAGTGTTCATAAAAACAAGCAATTATCATAAAAACTAGCAATTATCATAAAAACTAGCAATTATCATAGTATTGCAAGCAATCCAAAAGTACCCTACTGGCTAGAACCCCAGCAACATTTTGAAGGGCCATTGGTCTTTGAATTTATAATGCCATTGAATGAATGAATGAATGAATGAATGAATGAATGAATGAATGGCATAAATGGTTACTTAAGTCTTTTGAGTTCTTAGTTTATTTGTATATATCTTAGTTATGTGTTAAGTTTCCCTGTCTAGTAATGAAATTATTTTTATAGAAGTGATAATAAGAGATCCCATTTTCTCAGGATGAATATTTATAACTAATGTTTCAACTTTTTACTATTTTAAGTAAATATTATGGAAAAGTTTTTTATAAGTGATCTCTGGAAACAGTTTTTTAGGAATGGACAGACAGACGAACTGACAGACACACTAAGGGTAAATCTCTATGGATGCTAGATTTATAACCCTTGTCAAATTATAATGATGTTGGGGTTTGGAGTAAATGCTACAAGAAATGAAGAAGTTGGAGTAAAATAATAATAGTTTCTAAAAAACAATTCAAAGTTCAAGGGGGGGGGGGGGGGGGGGGGTTCTGGAAATAGTAAAGCTAGAGCATTGAACATTCTCCCAAAATATTTAAGTGATAATAAGACACATATATATGAAGTTTGAAGTAGATGTATTAAGAAATAAAGAAATTATAAAAAACTTCTTTTTTTTATGAAGTTTCAAAGTTCAAGGGGGGTAATTCTAATAATTTTTGGGCTAGAGTTGTAAACCTTGTCACATATGATGTGGTTGATGATCAGAAACATATATTTGAAGTTTGAAGTAAAAACCTTGAAAATAAAGAACTTATTAATTAGTTAAAAGCCTGAAAACTTGAATCAGAAATCTTAATTAGGTCGCCGACACTTGGTGAGTTAGAAACAATAATTATACTCCATATAAGTAAAGATTAAAATGATGTGAATAATCTCCATACTGCCATCTGTCCATATTTTAAGTTTCATAAAAATGTTTTCATTACTTTTTGAGTAATCACAAATATTGTTATATTTGCCATATTTTTAAGCTATTTGTTGCCATAGCAACCAAATTTTTCAACATAGGAAGAAAAGAAAAGGCAACAGCAAGACCAACTCTATTTTTTTCTTCAAAGAAAAGTCGAGTTAAAAATAAGCCAGTATCGCATGATACACATTCAGTGTAAAAACATATAAAACATACAAAAAAAATGAGGTAGCTAAACCTCTATGTAGCATAATAATTATTATGTTTTTCAATTGTCATGCATGAATAAATCTTTAAAATGCTTACCAAAATTTTTGTATTTTTTATCAACATACAGGATTCTATTGACATTCTCCCCAGTTTTTCCACCTCTAATGTAATGTTCATACTTTCCTTCCTTGTCTTTTTTCTTGAAATAATACTTGTATGGAAAATAGTTACTGCTATCAATAAGCCTAAAAGGTATGGTTACCTCAGACACCAGTTCATATATATCACCCTCTACATGCCTAAAATGTAAAAAATATGCTTTATCCTACTAGTCTTATGTCGTCAAAAGTTGTTACTGTACTGTATCATGGATTGTAATGTTTTCAATTTGAACAAACAATGTCTTAAAGGTCAAAGGTTGATTGAGGATTGAATATTAGTACACATGATACTACAGCTAGAGTCCAGTGTTGCATCTAGAATTTCAAAATTATGGGGGATTGTCCCCCACTCAATTGAAAAATATGGGGGATTTGAAAAAGATGTGGGGGACATTATAACATTTACCTTACAATATGACATACCGAAAAGAATTCATTTATTTTACGTTCAGGCATTTTTGACAGCTATTGTCCGCTCAAAAACGGAAGTAGAAAATATAAAATATTGAGGAATACTACAAAACACACGCGAGATGACTCAGTTGGCTGCTACATGCGATTTAGTACGTATTTTCGTCATAACCACGATTGAAAACAAATATGGCTGAAGCGTTCAAGATACGATGAAGATAAACTGAATTAAGTTGAAAAGATCGTCAGATGCGCGACTTGGTGCGCACTGACTTCATTAAAATGCGCGATCTGTATAAAAATGCGCAAATAGCGCAATCGCGCGGCCTTAGATGCAACACTGGAGTCATTACCTATGATTTATTATTAAATGTGTCATATGAATTAAAAACTGAAGGTTGTTAGACAGTTCTGTAAATTATCAATAACTGGATATAGGCCAGCTGAAACCATGTACATGTACTTGAAACAGCAGTGAGTGTATTTGTGTTAAAAAAGGCAATTTATTATGCTTCTGAATAACACAAAGTTTTCATTTTATATTTCATTTTCATTATTTTACATTGGATAAAATGTACAGCCCATTTTTTCTAGTGAATTGCTCATACACAGAATGTTACTTTATTAAAAATCAGTACAGTTCTTTCACAAAAAGAAACTATGTGAATTTCTAAATGTTTAAAAATACAGTTTCAATTCTTGAAAGCATTAAATTTTATGTTTGGGTTACTCACTAGACTAACTGGCTCTACACTTCAAATGTAAAATAATGAAATATTAAAAATGTTATGGAAGAAAATTACTATCTGTTATATTTATTGGTTTTCTGCTCCACAAAGATCAAAAATGTGTCATGTGTCATAGGCAATGTGATAAACATGAAATTGATTTACCATAGTTTATAGGCTGATTGAAGGAAGGAAGTATAGAAACATTTTACATCGATTCAGACAATTACAACAACTTTTACAGGTAAAACCTTATCATCATCAAAATAGCTAAAGGGTTCTCAATTAATTCCCCCAAACAAACTAGACTTACCTGTAAGTTGACGTTGGGTTGGAATTCTATGTAGTCATATAACAACTGGAGGGATCAAATGAGATGTGCATAGACCGTATCGATATTCCTCAGTCTTCAAAGCGATAACAGAAAAGTTATGTCCCAGAACGGGATCAAAAAATATTACTTTCCTTAGGCTTAGGTATTAATACAGTTGACTCTCAATAAGTCAAAATCGCTTTACTCAAAATTCCGCGTTAGTCGAAGAATTTCTAAAGTCCCGTCAAATTTCCTTCTTTATCTTTGTATTTTAACTCCGCTTAGGTCAAATTTTGACTTACCGAGACTCCTGTTTAGTCGAAAAGAAAATTTGGTCCCGTCAATTAAAGTCCAACATATTTTCATCTCAATTTGTCGAAGTGTGAAAACAGCCGACTGATCAAAGGTCGGCGACATCAAGTTGAGATGATGTCACTCGTTATTCACACGTTTCATAGTAATTTTAATTGCCGGTCATCATGTATTATCAGCACGTCGTGAAAGTGGTTTAATCAGTTTCAGGACTTAATTGGTTTTAACAGTTAGATAAGTAAATTAAGATTTAATTAATTTAATTGTACTAGCCTAGGTATTGATGTGTGTTTTCAACACATTTTTATAATTAATTTTCCGTCATATTGCATACATTAATATGTACTTCCGGTTCACGATAGTTGCTACTTTCGTTTTCGTCCGATGATCAATTTACTTCAAACATTAGATATATTGTTGTTGAAATAAATGTGTTATTGTGCTTTTATTGTAATGAATTATCATGAGTGCGTATTAAAAGCATGTGCATTACTGATGGATACTGACAAACTTGCATTTATGTCATTGCTACGAATGCTTGTGTTTATATTTCACTTTTAATATACAGTGGAGCCTTGCTAATCCGAACCCTTCTAATCCGGAATCCTTTCTAATCCGAACGAAGTGTCCGGTCCCGATTTTATCCGTTCTATTTTTAATAGTAAAAAACCTTTCGGATCCGGAACCTGTCTACTCCGAATTCCGGACGATTTTTTCAATTTTTGTTCTTATTTTACTCTAAAATTTACCTCTCGGATCCGAACAGATTTTGCCAAATGTCACACCTTTATTCAAAATAACAAATTATCGCACATCTTGCAGGTGTAAACATACACCAAACTGATAAGTGTTATATCGCTTGATTAATGGGTGAAACGTATGATCTGCGAAGGTGTGAAAATTATACTTAGCTTACCTTGATATCTTCTATAATTGCTTAATTGATTGTTTTTCGTCAGCTTCTATAAATATTTTGATATAATGCAATAGAAATATCTTTTAATCCTTTGTATTGGATTCAATGATACGTGATTAAGTAATGAAAATTAATGTAAACTGTCAGTAAATTCGGATAGTCGCTGAATCGGATAAGAGTAAACAACAACTGACAAATGCTGGTACGAATATCTAATCATGTCTCGGCCTCCTGTTTAACATCGTAGGTTAACTTACCCTAGAGGACATAATATTGTTGCTTATTTATTTATTTTTGTTTCTTTATTTTTGTATTCAGATGTATTAAAATGAACGATAAGAGACTGCAAAAATAACATATCTAAATTGCAATTTCAAATATATTCCCGTTTTCTTTCCTTAAACTATTTTGCAAATAACATGAAAAAAAACATGTAAAAAACCTTCTAATTCGGAAACCTTTCTAATCCGGAAACCTTTCTAATCCGAACTTTTCTTCTGGTCCGGACGAGTTCGGATTAGACAGGTTCCACTGTACATGTATTAAATTTTGAATAATATATTTTTGTTCATTTATTATTTGTATTTGTAAGTGATTTACAGGCATTTCAACGGTTAAATATTGTAGCATTGCCGCTATCAACAATAACAAACCTACTTCTTTGCACATTCAATCAGGTACATGTATATACATGTACGAATGTCAACGTAATGGCGGCAGATCCACGTTACTCGAATTCCGTTTCTCTCGAAGTAAAATGCCCAGTCCCTTGGATTTCGAGTTATCGAGAGTCAACTGTATATTTAACTGTAACATTAAATGGTTTTCTGGGTGGAGTGCAATTTTGAAAACAACCCATCATTTAGCATCCATTCAGTATTGTCATTGAATTTTCTCGAACTAGCATCAGCCTCATTGTCTATTCCAGGAACATGCGTTGCTGAAAGCCATATATTTCTTTCACAACACCACAACCAGATTTGTCTAGCAAGACTGTTTAAATTCTGTATTTTTCCTCCCATGTTCTTAATATAGGAGATTGCACATGTATTGTCTGATCTTATCTGAACATGGCTATTAGTTGTGGTTTTGCAAAAGGATTTTAATGCATAGCTTACAGCAAGCAGTTCCAAGAAATTGATATGGTTTTGGGCCTCCTGGTCACTCCATCGACCACCAGTTTCTAAATTTTCACACACTGATCCCCAGCCTTGGATCGAGGCATCGCAAGTGATAACAATGCTTGGGTTTCCATGAGAAATTCTCCGCTTTTGTTGAGAAAGATTATCAATCCACCATTGTAATTCAACTTTAATTGATTCAGTTACCATCATGGTGGACTCATAATCTCCTCTATTTTCTTTTAAAGCAATGATTTTTTCCCTCTCTGTATCACGATAATACAAAGGAGCAAACTCAACTGCAGAGAAAGTGGAAACCAGGAGACCCAAAACTCTAGCAACTTCCCTAATCTTTGCATGATTACGGTTTTGCAGATCTGCACATGCTTGGACAATTCCATTTACTTTTTCTACCGGCAAAGTTACAATCATTTCTTTAGAATCAATATTGTTACCGAGAAAGGTAATTTTTTGAATGGGTTCAAGTACTGATTTTTTATCATGTATCATAAAGCCAACATCAGTCATTAAATTGACAGTGTCGGACACATTTTCTCGACATTCTGAGATTGTGTCTGCCATTAACAATGAGTCATCTATGTACCCAGAATTCTTATGTCCAAGCATGCGTAGAGATGCATAAACTGGCTTCATGAGCCTAGTAAACTGTTTTGGCGCACAAGAAATACCATTTGGAAGAGCTTCGTACTGGTAGATTTTACCTGACTTCTGAAATCTTAGCTTAATTTTGTGTTCTGTTGCAATTGGAAACAGAATAGTAGGCATGACGCAAAATCAATTGATGCAAAATAACAGCCAGGTTTGACTAATTTTAATACAGATTCAAATGTGTCCATTTTAAAATGATGATATTCAATAAATTCATTTAATTCTTTCAAATTTAAAATCATTCTATATTCACCATTCTTTTTAGGACGTATGAAAATTGGAGAAATATATTCCTCAGGATGATGTTCAACTTCTGTAATAACACCCATTTTTAATAATTTTTTTATCTATTTCTTTATCTACAATGTTATCTTCTTCGGGTGTGAAATGGTTTATGTAAGAAAAAGTTTTAATGGGATTAACACCCTCTTTAAATTCAATGTGACAATGTTGAACAATGTCCAACACTGAATCATCACTGGTTATTTTTCTCCAATTTTCAATAAAATCCTTCAATCTACCAGCTTTAAAAGTACTAACCTGCTCTACTTCTTGGGCACCATCCTGGCATTTTTTGAAGCTGCCGATATGTCCGGCCGACCACGACCTCTACCACGGAACCCTCGTCTGTAGTAAGGATGAGGGCGTCTGCTACCATAGCCACGATAGTTGCCCCGAGGGAATCCTCGACCAAGACTACGACCAATCTTGTTCAGGTCATTGATCTCCTTCACATTCTTGTTGACGTCTGTATCGTCACCATATAAGTTATCAGTGAATGGAAGAGATGCTGAAGCCAAATAATGGTACTTCGGATCAAGATCCGACTTATGGAGTTCTTTCCGGCGAATATTTATCAATTTATTAGCCTGTCCGAGCAACGCAATAGAGTTTGAACTCCAGTCCATATCACAAGGGTCTAAAGAGTCAGCATTTTTGTCAATAAGCTTGACAAGGTTGGATGTGGCTTTGACGATCAAATCTTGAATTATCTGCATTCGGTTGTCGTCGGCCTGTGTATGCATTTTCAGTAGTCTCCAGATTCCTTGGTTGACTCTGGTTTTAACCAACGCCTCACAATTTTGTGGCCTGTGTATGTCCTTCACTATATCTGACAGTTTATCTTCCGTCAAACCACTTCTAAACGACATGTTGACAAAATGTGCTAGGTCATCATTGACTTCACTATCAACAGCGTCTTCTTGTTGGAATTTGTTCACTAATGAACTAAATATACCTCCCCCAGAATTTTTCTTAGCACTTGAAGGAATGGATGCTTGTTCAGATATACAAGCATCATCATCATCATATTGTTCTTGGCATTCATAGTCATTGTACTCATTATATTCACTGTAATCTTGATCAGTCAACTGTTCAGTGAAGGACTGTAATTTTTGTTCTTGTTTTTCCAAGCGTGTGGCTTGTGCATTGAGATTTGCATTCATTTCCTTTAATATCAGTAACACTTCTTTCGTTACCCCACCCTCCTTGGTGGGCAACTGTTTCGTAGGTTGTTTACCGCTACTGCTGCTAGTAGCAGCCTTGTCACTTGAAATTAACATGGACGACTGACTAGACGAACTAGATGTGGTAGTAACTGGGGTTGTTTCATTTTGTTGGGAGACTTTTATGGTCTTTTTTCCCGTGTTTTTTAACTGGACTTCTTTATCTGCCATTTTGCTTTCCACGCGACTTCGTAAAGCAACTCTACTAACGCACGTGGGTATGTCGTAAAATGTATTGTCGTAAAAAATACAACAAAGGCAAATAAACAATATTTGCGAACAAATATTATAAAATTGTATCAAATTGTTACTAATAACAATAAATAATAAGAGTATTGCTACGAATAGCAATATAATTTGTAAGACTGACTAGAATAACAAATTATCTAAATCGTGAACGAACGAATCCGTCACGGAAAACGGTCAGCTACTGTAGAAATACGACTGCACTCTACGAGTAGCAAAAACGCACTGAGGAATATCGATACGGTCTATGCACATCTCATTTGAGCACGGAAGTTGTATGACGTAATAGAATTGGATTGTTATTTCATTATCTTGACAGTCTATTATGCAACATAAAACCAACATTAAATAACACAATGTGTAAACTATGTTTGTTTTAAGTGAGATATAAAATAAACCTCACCTTTCGACTTTCATTTGCCTATTTTTATTTTTCCAGCCTCCCATTTCCTTATTGCCCATCACAATAAAGACCTGGTATTTATCAGGATCAAAATGAAAATCTTCACTTGTCAAAACATGAAATGTTACTGACCACTCTTCTTCAGCATTTCCAGTCATGCTCCTTCAAGAAATAAACACAATATTTAATTCTGGTTGACAGATAACAAGGACAAATTTGTTAATGTATGATTATGCAAGGAAGTGCTCTTGTACATTTGAAAACTTGAAATTGTCACAATTAAGTGCCTAATACCCCTGACAAATGCTTGTCAGAAAGCGTGCTATTTAGTTAATAATTTTGCACATAGAAAGAATCACAGGCATACGGCACATTTGCCATGCCAATAATTGTCAAATTATCATAAAATAATCGACCCTTGTTCATCAAAAACAAAATTACTCCCCGCACCAGTTTGCTATATAAAATATGGACGTAGCGTATTCACCCAACATGGTCAACATTTTCCTCTTGCATTTTTCTAATATAAGACATATTTTCATACTTAAATGTGCAAACATAGCACAATAGATATATCTTTCAATAACTGTAAAAAATATTGAGCCATCTATCTTCATTTACGATAAACAAATTATCAAACATGAAAAATTACCTTAAAATTGCAAGGTTGACATGTTTTGTGCCATGGAAATTTCAAAAATTACCATGATTAAACATATGTTTCCCTGTTGCCATTCGTAAGAAAATATTCCAAGCATGTTAAAACATTGAATTCAAGTTATTACGAGGGATGATCAAAAATAAACCGGACTGTGACTGTCAATTGAAGAATTATCAACGTATCACTTATTGTTATATATCACACTTAATCGGAAAACAATACCTGTAAACTGATGCTATAGCTAATCTGATAACGCAAATAGCTTGTCCGTAACAGCGAATTCAAAAACCATGGTAACGCACACCCGGCGCAGTGCGTTAATTCGCCTTGACCACAGGCGCTTTGTGCTGCGTATATTTTACAATATGGCACATTTAGATTTCAAACTTCGCCAAAACGTCATGAACCAAATCTTTGACATTGTCAGTAAAAATGACTTCATTTGAAACATAATTGTATTTGCTATCACAATTCAAACGCCACTTGTTAAAAACATATTCGTGTTAAATCTATGTTGTCGGAAAGTCTCGAAAATCGATCAATAAGAAAAAATGGTCAAAATTAAGACAATAACCTGTTTAAAATGTAGAAAAAGATTATGGCTATCAAGGGAAAAGTTCCAGGAAGCCACAGCATATTTTTTTATTAGCATGAAGGATAAAGAAAGGGTTATAAAGAAATAGAAAAAAGTAAGGGAGAGACAAAAAAAGAAATTTCCAAAGACGTTGGTGACGTCAATCGCCAAGACGTTGAAAATGACGGTCGATTGACTGCAGACATTGTCATTGATGTTTGACAGTAGCTACGGGTCGGTGCAGTCAACTCTAAGGATTTTAAAATGATAATAGTAAATGCATTTATTACATATATAGTATTCTTGGTTTACAATTGTACCAATTATTTTCTTATTTTACGTAGTAGTGTTTTCATTATGGAGAAATTGTGTCAACAATTTAACAGTCACTGTTCAAAATCGGCTATGCAGTTTATTTATTTTTATTAAATGACAATTTTGGTTATAGTTTTATTATTCTTCTTTTATCGTATGTATGATACGTTATCATTCAGTAACATTATTTTACATTATTTGAAATACATAATATAGTTTATTGCATGTGCGATTTTCCCAACAATCAAGTTACAGAATTAAAGAACGGAAATTTGCGTCATTACAGGAGTTCTTTATCATCATCCATTCTTTTACAATACAATATGATACCCGCATCAACAACATGACTGCACCACGTATTGGCCTACTCCGTGAATGAGTAAAAAGCTGCTCCGTTAAGGACAATACGCTTGTGACGTCGTTAACGTCAATTTTAAAGTTATACCGTGCGCCGCATTGCTATACATGTACATGCCAATAACAGCATAACTTTTTTCTTTGTTAATATTTCTTGTTGGTATTTTTGTATCATTCAGGGGGTAGATTCCAATTTATTTTCCGTGTATTTTTATGTAAATTCATTTAACAGGTAAAGAACCATTAACAAAGTCCGGTTAATTTTTGATCACCCCTCGTATATAATGATAGTGACATATAAAATGTCACTTGAATGCGCACTTTAACTAAATTTCATTACACTTTTTTTTTCTTTAAAATATCTGCCATTCCGCTGTCAAACGAAATGGAAAGTTTTCATTAGCTAATTCAATGTGTGTGACCTAATGATGACAATTATGTACACAAAAGAGAATTTAACGAAATTGAGTAAAAAATTCATAATTTAGAAACATAAATTACTCGCATATAGCATATTTCAAGTTGAATTCAATCTTACCCTGTTTGGAATACTTTTTTACCAATGGCAAGCAGCTAAATGTATGTTTACTCGTGGTAATTTTGGAAATTTCTGTGACACAAAACATGTTGACCTAGCAATTTTAAAGTAATTTTTCATGTTTGATAATTCATTTATTGTAAATGAGGATGGAATTTATTGGCTCAATATTTTTAACAGTTATTGAAAGATATATCTATTGTGCTATGTTTGCACCTTTAAGTATTAAAATATGTCTAACATTAAGAAAGTGCCAGAGGAAAATGTTGACCGTGTCAGGTGAATTCGCAATGTCGAGTTACATACCTTGTATATATTATATTTTATGTAGTACACGGGTGCTGGATAGTAATTTTGTTATTGATGATCAAGGGATGATAATTTGACCATTATTGGCATGGCAAATGTGCCGTACGCCTGTGGGGAGAATGCAGTAGTTTATAGATTTTTTTTTTTTCAAATGTTTTTCAGTTATTTCTCCTACATCAATAAGATAAATTAAAGTTAAATTCAAAGTTTTCATGACTTCTTTAAAGGGCAATATATTCTTTTTCCCAAAGATTTCTTCACTTCTACTCAGTGAGATCTATCTACCAAAAAAGTTTCATGTTGATACCATTTATAGTTCTCAAGTTATGTGCACAACGAAATTCAAAGTGTAATGATGAACAAAGGGCAATAACTCCAAAATAAGGGATAAGAGGGTTATCGTTCTTATTCACTGCACTTCTACTCAGTGAGATTATATACCTAAAAAGTTTTAAGTTGATACCTTTTATAGTTCTTGAGTTATGTCCTGGACAAAGTTCAAAGTGTAAAAATGGACAAAGGGCAATAACTCCAAAATTAGGCAAAGCAGAGTTATACTTCTTTTGCACTGCACTTCTAACAATGTGATCTATCTACCTACAAAGTTTCTTGTTAATACCCCTTGTTGTTTTAGAGTTATGTCTTGGTCAAAGTTCAAAGTGTAAAAATAAACAAAGGGCAATAACTCCAAACTAGGAAAGGCAGAGTGACAGTTCTTTTGCCCTGCACTTTTATTCAATGAGATCTATCTACCTACAAAGTTTCTTGTTACTACCCCTAGTCCTTTAAGAGTTATGTCCCGGACATAGTTCAAAGTGTAAAGTAAATGAAGGGCAATTATTGAAAAATTGGGCTAGTTACAATCCTTTTGCACTACACTTCTACACAATGAGATCTGTCTATCTCTAAAGTTTCTTGTTGATATCTCATTTAGTTTTAGTTTTTTCCTGGACAAAGTTCAAAGTTTAAAAATAAACAAAGGACAATAACTCAAAAATAAGGCAAGGCAGATTTATTTCCCAAATTTCAAAGTGTACCTCCATTACACATATAGGACAGTTTAGATGTAGATAATTGTGTATGTTTATGAACAAATAATAACAGGAAAGTTCATATTGTACTTTAAACGAACATTGTAACTCACCTTGTATTTACTCCTATGCTTTGAGTTGTACTGCCTGCATCAACAGTAGCTTTATCCTAGAAAATTTAATGTTAATTTGTTATAATATATCTATAGATTCAAGAAATAAAGTAACAATTATTATGCACATGTATTTGATTTATGTGTAGAAAAAAATTTGATACATGTTGTTCTTTAGAAATTGGTTGGATTGAAGGTCACTGTGCACTTGACTTTAGACAAACTGATCTTTTAATCAACAGGAGTCATCTATGACAAACCTTCAGACTAAATAGTTATCAACTTATTGAGAGGACAATGTTTTTAGTTGAACGCAGCTTTGTTCTTGACTTTAGACTGACTTATCTCAAAGTCCATAGGGAATATCTAGTGACCATGGCCAACCTCCACACTGTTTATAAAAACAGCACAACTTATCATGACTTATTATACTGTCCCTGTACAGCCTTTCTAGTAATAGTATGAAGACAGCACACTTCTTAGTTCTCAAGTTATTGAACTAACATCTATGTGGCTAATGGACATCTATGAAACAACAAATGCCATACCATAATACAACCAACGTAACCATAATTTATGCAAAAGCAATGGATGGCATTTGGTTATAATTTATCATTAAGAGGATTCAAAGGAAAACTTGTTTAATGTACAATGTAGCTCATAAAAACTTACAATGAGATTTATAAGAAGATGTTGTTTATCTCTAAAGTTGATAGCAGATGCTCAAAATACATCACCTGAGCATGACCAGGTGTGTTAAAGCCTAGCATTAGTACCTTTAGAGGAAACAGCCGTTCAATTCAAATGGCAAATGAAAGGAGATGGGACTACTGAATATCCTTCTATTCATATCAATAGCTTATTTTTAATATTTTTAATCTCTTGAACAATGAAAACAATTTACCTTGCTCTTTTTCTTTTTTTTCTTCTTTTTCTTTCTTTTTGTTTGTGTTTCAGGTATATGTACAGTTTGCCCTGTGTCAATATCAGTCTCCTTCACTGCAGGATTTGTCTCCCTTAAACTCTCTTGGTTTTCATTTGGTAGCTGTTCATTTCCATCTTTTTCTTGTATGCCTCTATTGCCATTATCTCCTTCATTATCATTTTCATCGTCTGAGCTAGATTTGTCTTCATCTGTAGATTTGTCTTTTTCAGGAGGACGTAACTTTGGATCAACAAAATCGTCTTCTGTTTTTTGCACATCCTGTACTGGCGTTGTTTTTTGCTCATCCTGTACTGGCGTGACATTTCCTTGAGCATCGTTACTGCTGCTTGTGTTGAATATGCTTGAATCATTTGGTTTGGATGTCTCAACTTTTTCTGGTGTTTTCCAATTTTTAGCTTGTCCAAAGACTCTGCCATCACTATCATTTGGGTTTGCTTGTGTCATATCTGAAGTTTCTAGTGATTTAATTTCTTGATTTTTTTTGTCTATATCTTCTTTGGACTCTGATTTTGTTTTATCAATTTCTTGGCTCTTAGATTTCGCATCATCTGTCTTATCATCTTGTTTACTTAAATCTCTGTCTTTCTTTCTTTTCTTCTTATTTTTCTTTTGTTTTTTTTTAGCTTCCCCAGTAAGAGTTCCAGAGCCTAGATCATTATCAGTGCCTAAGGAGGCTGCTCCACCACAATCTTTGGTTTCACCAATATCAAACTCAGAATCATCTTCAGAATCCATGGTTACACTCCCTTTTTCCTCCTCATTTTGTAGAGTTTTGTCTTTGATTGGATCTGTAGCATCACTATGGGAATCTTTAGAATCATCAGAACTGTTAGACTTTTTCTCAGTGGAATCTGGTTTAAAACTAGTTTCCACAGAATCCTTCTCAACATTTAATTCATTTCTTACATCTTTGTTTACGCTTCTACTTTCCTCTGCAACAACCTGGTCTGTGTTATCTGATTGGTTTTGTGTGTAATTGGCATCCTGACTTTCTTTACCACTGGTTTTGTTATGTTCTTCATGGCCTTTAATATCTTCTTTCCTAGTATGAATACCTTCCTCTTCTACAGCTAGTATGGGTTCCTTTTTGATCTCACTACTGTATCCTTCATTTCTTGTTGCAGTGTCAGAAACAGGGTTACTTTCTAACAGCACCTCCTCAGCCGTGCTTTCTCCAGACAGCTTATCATCAGTTTTGCTCTGACCTTTAAGCAAAATAAACATCACAGTTCTATACAAGCAACAATTTTTTAGGAGTCCATAATACAAATTTCATTTTTACAAAAAGGATAGAAAGTTATAAATAGTACTTATGACAAACAGTTCAAGAGATAAAGAGAGGAAACAAAATTGCTTCCGCAAATATTATGGCCTTAAAAAATATATGAGCTTAAAGCTGGGTTCCTTAAATATTTTACATGTTTGTGAATTGAGTAAATAAGTAAATCCTTTAAAATCTTGAAACATTGACCCCTGGATGTAGAACAAAAGACACTGCTAAGTTGAGGTTACACTCTACCTTTCTAATTTCTAAATCAAAAGCATCTGTGAAAAAAAAATGTAGTAAAGAATTTACCAAGAAAACACCTGTGTCTTGTACAATATATAATTAAACTTTCAATAATTTGACCTTCACAGTCAATGTCAATTAAAGGTTAAGGCCACATTTGAATAATCATGATGACAGTTTTGTCATTTATGAAATTGTGTCCAAGAATGATACATAACCATAATTAAATCACAAAGTTGTGACAAATTGAGAAAATTTCAATAATTTAACCTTCACAGTCAAGGTTAATTAAAGGTCAAGGTCATATAAGAATAATTCAACATGTGTTGTCTTTTGTCAAAGTATGAATCATTGCTTTTCATTTTGTTTGGTACACCAATACAATTTACGTCATAATTATATGACCCCAAAACAGGAAGGATAATTTTAGCTAACCACAAGTGATACAAACTTAAAATAACACCGGGGGTCAAAACCACCTCAACTGCTGCAGCTAAAACATGCATAGACTCCAAGAGGCATCAACTCCGGTAAATGAAACCCATTTAGTTGCCTCTTACTATCACGCTGGGATAAACAGTGACTGCAAGTCCGATAATTCTACCCTTTAACCCTTTACCTCATATATTCGCGAAACAACGCACTTTCGACCCCCCCCCCCCCCCCCCCCCTGAAATAGTGAAAAAATGTCCTATTTGGGCCCCAAACATATGTTTTCGTTTGAGAAATGTTGCTAAACAAAGTGAGCACTTTTTCGGCGCCGCTCCCCATCCAAAAGATACATCAGGGGTTGTCAGAAGGGGGATGTGCCCCTTCTGTTTGGGGGGTTTGAAGGTGGGGCAGAGTCCTCCTCATCGCCAAGAAAATTTTGGACTTGTGAGAGGCTAAAAATGACCCCAGGTCGATCATAAGGTAACGTGTAACCAACGCTGAAAAGCCTTTGACTCTATCTCAATCCCTTGAGAAGTTGCTGCACTTTGAAATAAATTTTGATGGAAAAAATCGAGGCAAAATAGTGATTTTTGGCAATTTTGAGATGTCCCCTCGTTGCCATGGTAACAGGAAATTTAAGACTGAGCATGTCGTTACAAAGGCAATGGTCCAGTCAACATTTGTACCAAGTTTGATTAGTATTGAAGCATTTTTCATAGTTTCATAGCAGTTTGAACTTGTAACAGGAGGCTTTTCAGTGAAAACGACCATTTTTCATAATAAGCTCATGAGGGAAAGGGTTAAGGCAACCAAGAGCCAGAAGGGGTAAGCAAAATTCAATTATTTGTTATTTGTTGTTTTTTTATGAATGTTATAACGCTTTTTTGATCATATCTCTTGAGCCTGCTCATATAACTAGCTTTCCTGGATAATTAACCAGTTATTACCAATTTCTCCACTGTCTCCCACATGATAATAGGAGTTAGACCTAAGTGCAACCTCTGCATTACAAAATTGATGCTCTCCCTACATGCCCTAAGGCTGTTTATCTAAGCAGGCAGACTTAACATTGTAATATTAAACATGACATTTTGTAATTTGTAAACTCTTTATCAACATATTATTTTTTAGAAATTGTTTACATAATTATTTTCTAACAACTGTAATTTTTCTCTTCAATTCTTCATAATTTATTATAATTCAACAGTATAATTGTTAACATTCATTATGTAGATCTAATAAACGAAATAAAATAGATATCTTGAATACAAAAATTGAATATAGCTGACCTAAATTGAATTAACTTATAATACAATGCAGTTTAAAGTTTGAAAATAGTAAATCAATACTATTAGATAATAGATATGCAAATATTTGTTTTGTGATATACATTTTGATCAACAAAACACGAGATAGGTAGTCTAGCTATCTATATTTTTTATTACATTTTCAGAAAATCATATATGAATCACCGTATCTGAGTTTCAAAAAAAAAAATGTTTAAAATTGTTCGAAATTATGACCTTGTTTATTTTTAGTTCAGTAATTTAATATTGAGAATAAGAGACACATGATATGTTTGCAAAGATTGGCAATGTAAGATAACATTTAACATGGTTAACATGTAAAATACTAGTATATGACAAACTATTGCACTTAATTTGAACACTGGCTCCCAAACAGCTGTGGAATAATAGGAAAACACAATTTTGAAACAAGCAAAATCTTGGTAAAATCCAGGCCCTGCTGCAGTCTGCGAAATAACTTTTTTAGATCATAGGCCATTTGGACCTTCAACCCAGGCAGAAGTTTAGGCCCGGACAGAATATCACAGGCCCAAAATATTAATTGTGCAAAATAAAGACAGTTTATTTTATGTGTTACTCACATCATTAAGGTTCAATTTATTCAAAGAAAATCAGTCAGCGACTTTTCAATAAAATTCTCATTTTCTGTTCTTATATATATATACTCAACATTACTCATTAATCTACTGCTTTCCACTTTATTTGTTTAAAATATGAAAACAAATATCAACAACTTAGGAAGCATTGCATTCAATGAACATATCCCCTAATTAAGCACAACCAATCACCGGTTTCACTTCAGATGTTTAAATTAGCCGATTCATGTTTGTTGTTCACAAATCTAAATGGGTCAATCTTAAAATAAATTTATTCTTCAACAGAAATTTACCATAATTTGTTCTTTAATCCTCAAACATTTATGATTTTACTCAAGTATTGTCTGTATATTTACACTAACCAATAGCTGTAGATGATAATATAGATTATGCATAAATGATTGACATACATGCATTATGCAAATCATATTGGAAGTGCTATACTGATGAATTACTTAACTACATAATTATTTCGGAAAAATATTGAAACTCATTTTATATGAAAACACATTCTGAATTTAAAGGCCCGTCGGGCTACAATCTTTGGATTTTTGCAGACCCGAATTGGATTTTACCAGCCTTGGGCATCGGGCCTTAGCCTCAATCTTATGACTCTTGGTCTACATGTGCCACAATTTGAAAACAAAAAATCTTTTACTAAGTAAAGGGCAAGAACTTTACAAATACTGAATAAATCCACACACAAACCCAGTAGTGCGTAAGTACACATGCTGACCAACATTCTTGAAAACTTTCAGGCCAACAGGTCAAATACTTTTTGAGCTATGCATGAACAAGATAAAAATTGCAAATTTATATTAAGTCAAGGGCAATAACTCTAACAAAACTGAAAAAAAATCCACATGCAAAACCCAAGGTGCATAGCTTCACAGTGATGTTTATCAATTAAAATTCATTCCTGTAAAGTTGTTTGATTCTAACTCAAGCACTCAAGGTACAAATAACACAACATAATGGAACAGTTTTTTACTAAGTCAAGGGCAATAACTCTGACAAAACAGAATAAATCCACAAGCAAAACCCCAGGTGCTGATAAACATTCCTGTAAAGTTTCATGTCTCTAGGTCAAATACTATTTGAGCTACATGCGACACAAGTTGAAAATTGCAAATATTTACTAAGTCAAGGGCTCTACAAATATTAAATAAATCCACATGAAAATACCCAGGTGCACAACTTAACATGCTGAGCAACATTACTGTAAATTTCATGACTCTAGGTCAAACGCTTTTTGAGCTACAAGCGACACAAAATTAGAATGGACGGAAGGACGGCTGGACAAGGGCAAATCTATATGCCCCTCAACTAAAGTAGGGGGCACAAAAATGAGTTTCTAAGCTTTAAGTTAAACATCTTCTGGATCTATTGCTTTACAGTTAACTCACCTTGGATTAATCGCATCTGGCCACACCCTGCACAAAATGGTTTCCCAACAACAAGGACAGTGTCACAGTTGCTACATGTTTCGTTCAATAAGTCGAACAGTGACTGGTCCACTGGGTGTCCACAACATGTGCAGAAGTTTTGTCCTTTTACTAATTGTGCCTGACAAAGACTTCCATTTTCAAGTTTACCATTGCAGCTTATCACAGCATTATCTTTTGAAACATCAACTTTCTTTGTCCCACACCTATGACAAAATTCACCTGACCCCTCAGCACCACATGTGCTGACTGGGCACTTCATTTTGGCTGAAATATGAGAATATACCAGGTTAGAAACCACCATTCTTAAAACAAGAGCAAAAACTAAAGAAGTTAAAAAGGGTCATTACTCCAAAAAATATTACTTTTTGGATAATGCCCCTTGTCCACCTTACAACTGCTCCTAAAATGTCATGATGATCAAGTACTATAAGATTCATGTTGATACTTTTGATAGTTTTAAAATAATTCTACTTAATATTAAGCAATGCTGACAAAAACTCTTAGTTAGAAAGAGGGATAACTCCAAAAATATGAGCTTCAGAGTAATGCTCCCTTGTCTACATCAAATGCACCTAGTCATGATAAGATTCCAAGATATACTTCTGAGATACAGGATTCTTTAGAAACCTAGGACAGAAGTAGAAAAAGTTACATGTTTCTATTACAATATTAGATCTAGAAAGATTAATATAAAGATAATACAAATCTATAATTTTTTGCACCATTTTATCACTATATTGTAAAAATAAGTTCAAGCAAGCAAAGCATTGGCAACATTAATGTTCCCTGAATTAATTATCATACCAAACTAGGAGAACTTGGGAGTGCAAGGGACAAATGAGGATGACCATATTACATATTAAGAATAAGATTTATAAACATTTAACACTTAACCTGCTGAATTTGTGAAATGAATTTGCCTAACTTTGAATTGAACAGTCCATTCAAAGTTAGAGGGAATTTACTATAAATATATGCAAATTGAGCTATTATGTAACCAACAATATAGAGTAGAGCGTGACCAGACTGATGGGATAGCATGTACATGTACTTATAATACATGTATCTAATTAAATCAGGAAGTTTGACACATTCAAATTATTCTACCATACAATGCAAAAGATTTATTATGTCAACTTTTTAAGACATCAAGCAAGTCTGGGAACTTTTTGACTGTACCTTGTACATACACTTCAATATTTAAGACAAATCTATGTGTGTTAAAGATTGATTATGCTGACATGATAGCAAGCAGGAATGATAAAGCTATGATGTACACTGCTGTAAAATTTTGTAACTATGTCAAATATGTTTTCATTTAGTTATGATCATTTTTCAGTTTTTGATTCAATGAAAAGTCCTTGAAAGTGATTATTATCTAAGGCTTATAAAGTGCTTACTTTACAACAGACACAGTTCTGAAATCAGTTCATACATTAAACAACTTTAATTTTATATTTTCTTGTACTATATTTTAAAGACTCTATGTGACTGCGGTTCAAGTTGCGATGCACAAAAGTATTATATTCAATCTAGCTAACTTCAGGGTTTTTTCCCTGAGGATTTACGGAACATGACGCCATACCCATGGAATTAGGAATTTCAGCGATATTTTGTTAAAAATTGGGAAAAAATGCATGACTTAAATTTAGCTTTGATTAAATGAATGCAAAGAATCACTGTCTAGGATGGCATCTTCAAAACATTACACACCAACATAGCACCATAACAGTGGAGAAGCCTTTATTTTCTATTTTAAAGATTTTTGGAATTTTTTCCTGTGGATTGGGAAAAAGATATACTATTTTCAATGGGGAATATGTCCAAATATCGGCTATATAAAAATCCCTGTACTTGTTTCACATTTGCTAGCTTACTTTATTCACACTATTCCCTTATCAAACACAGAAATTTCAGCAAGAATAATGAAAGGAATATATTTACATAATTATGATGTATGATGTATTCAATAAACCAAACAGCATTTTGAAAATTATTTTTCCATAATATGTTGTTTTATTACCCTTCCAGATTTTTTCCGCCTTTTTGATTGGATATTGATCACCCGAAAGAAATTGATATAACCGAGCCAGACGGGTAATATACACACTAAGTTTCCCCGTTGGGTACCCAACGTTGTAAACAACATGCGCTGAGGTGATGCGCGTACGGTTCGATTTTACAATGTGTAAATTCCGATTTAAAAGCACTTTTTAACTGTCAAATGATAAATATTTACCAAAGTAGAGTAATGATACATATTACCATCAGTATCGAAAACAAATATGACCTTGTGAAAGCTTGATATTAATTACAAAAAAGTGCGTTCAATAGACTACTCATTTTCTCTTGTTTACATTCGTTAGGTACGGGAAAAATACGTCATGTATTTATGTGACGTCATGTTGTGACGAAGAGGTACCCTAAAGGGAATCTTATTTCGACGATTCATTTGAAACAGCAATGATTTTTTAAAAAATCGTCTAAACTCGGCAGGGGAAGGGTAATAAAATTATTATTTTGGTTTTGGAGTGATATATGTGGATATATTACCTGCCAAGATAAAATATCACCCTCGCCTAACGGCTCGGGTGATATAAAATCTTAACAGGTAATATATCCACATATATCACTCCAAAACCAAAATAACATATAATGTATTTCTTGAAATCTTTATTATAAATGCTTTGGAACATTTTTAACAAATATCCTCTTAACTTTTTTAGTAATTTACTGTTCAAGAATATAAAGTTAAATAACAATAAAAGTTCATAATGATTAATCAATTAAATATGACACTGAATAATAAGTATAAACAGGAACTATGCCTTTATGATGACCTTGACTTTTCATTCTTTGACATCTTAATTGATACTGCAGGTAGAGCCTAACAAAATGCATATAAATGTACATGTGGAGTTAGAATGCTTTGGATGGGAGCCATTTCATATAGTATGAATAATGATAACATTGGCTATATCCCATCAAGGTGACCTTGACATTTGACCTCAGTGATTTTTTTCACTGTATTTTACAGCCGAATAAAGGCTGTTTCCCCTAGCCCAAAATAGGTATATTTTCCCCTAAAAATGCATATATTTTCCCCAAAAATGCCTCATGCTCTTCTTCATACCAGAACCATGACTCATAACAGCATCTGACTTACTGTGTATCAGCTAGAAGACAGAAATCTGTCCCTATAGATAGCCCCTGCATATATACCATGCATATTATATTTAATTATCGCATGGCTGTGAGCTTTTCCTTTGTTCTTTCCAACCTATTATACTCAGTACACTTCAATGAGCATTTCAAAACTGTATTGATATATAACAGTACAGTTTTTTCATTGATTCATATAGGAAAAAAACTGTACTGTTATATATCGGTCTAGTTTTTTTCGCACCTTGTATATATCAATACAGTTTTTTCATAGAGGCTCCAATGGGGCAGTGGTAACGACCATTCCCAGTAGCAAAAAAAACCCATAAGATAATAAAAAATGAAATCAATAAAATAAAATAAATATATAAATACAATGAAAAATATAAACAAAGATAATTAATGAAATGAAAAAAGCCCTTTAATCTTAAATCAATCTTGGTAACAGTATACAATCCGCCTCTTATATTGGATGTCTTTTGTATATTTTTTTTTGCGGCAGCGAAAACAACTTGAAAAACTGCCTTATGATAAATAACTGTAATGTAGCTAACGATTAATTTATTTATTTGTTTCTATACAAAAAAGAAAACATTATGCCATTGCGATTAAACAGTTATAGTATATGAAACTCGTTAGTTACGGGGGTATAACACTGGCTGGGGCGACATCTCGGGATGTTTCTGCAAGCCCGTACGAAAAAGATAGCAGGATTCCGCCTAATATTAGCAGGAAAACGCATAAAATTTCCGTGTATATAAGATTTTCCTGCTAATTTAAGACGGACACGGAATTTTGTAAAAAATCCTGCTAAGCAATTTCATATTCCGCCTAAGGCTTAGGCGGAAAATATGGGATGAGCAATAATTTAGACGGGTTTTAGGACTTAGAATTTTGTCAGTTATTTGTTAACAGGAATTATGTACTTAGACTTTTTTGTTAACCAGAAATTGAACTTAGAAAATTTTACTAGACAGATTTCTGAATTTGGAGAAATTTCTGCAGATGACAGGTAAATGATAAATCGAATATTAAGTGATCTACAATTATTTTGCTGCTTTTATTCATTGTTAATTTTCAAAACTAAAATATTGTTTGTACAAACATAAACATACATAATCATTAATTGATAAAAAAAACTCCACAACAAAACTAAAACTTAGAACATGTATAATGATGTTGTGATGACTTTTGCATAGAATATATTTCACTGATGAACTAAACTCATATATTAAGCTCTTTAATGTAATATAATTAAATGAGTAATATCCCTGAAAATTTCTTATCAACAGGATAAATAAATAAATACTGCCTCTAGTAACCACTCTACTATGATTTAACACCATAGACCTGATAACACACAGGTCAGATCGTAAATTCTGCTACAGTCCAGACTGTTCCATGTGATTTATTTGGGGGGAAGCAACAATTACTTTGTACATTTTATATGATGAGTCTGTAAAGAAGGACTTTGCAAAGTTTTTTTTAAAGATATTTATTATGAATTTCGGATTCTTTTTCCATTTATTTTCTGGTATTTTTATATAATTGTGAAAATAAAACGATGGGTTGGATTATCCTTGTTTACCATCATATCATGGACTTGTCCATAATTTGAAATCTAGGAAATATGGGTCAGCAGAAGCTGAGACAGTGGAAAGAAAGCAAATAACAAAGGATTTTATTGTTTGTTAAAAATTGTGGTGATAATATATAAGCAATTTTTGAGATAATATTTTGTTTAAAGTGTAAGGATTGAATATTTTTGAATTTTTCAAAGAAAAAAAAAATAAAGACTTAACCTTGTGAATGAAAATGACAATAATCTGGATATGCTCAGTTGTAAATGAATTTTGAATGCTACATTATGACCTTTGATAAGAAGATAAATACCAATATCATAAAAATTCAGGTAAGTAACTTTTGGATACATTTAAACAATAAAAATATATTTCAAATAAATTAAATAATTTTGCATTAAGTTTGAGAGTAAATTTGTAACACTAAGTTTGGTTGTAATGAATTATAGTTTAAATGCATGTATAATTATAACTGCAAACAATGACAAGAAACAATAATATAAGATATTAGTGGTGGCAGTGTTTTACTGATGACTGTTTGTGTTTCAGGATATGTCTCAAGCTGGTGTAAAACGAATGGGAGAGGAGGAGTCAAGGACAAGGATATTAACGATGCCATAACTTAAAGCAGATCAGTTATGCTTGGAATAAAAATGAAAACAACTGGCTGAACAAAAAACATTTACAGTGAAATAAAATGAAATAATTTGCCATGGATTAAAACAATACAATAGCAGTGCAATAAAAAATATAACTTGTGTTTCTGTTTTTTGTGTGACTCTTTTACGTACTGTGCATGCACCCTAATGTAGAATACATTATGGTAAAGCTCACAAAAATAACTTAAAAGCTTTGTAATTGTGATCACCTATTGTCTGTCTGCAATTTTGGATTCCAATTATTCTTATGCAGCTAAATAATAATGTTGTATCCATCCATAATTCAGCTTTATTTTAATAAGTGTACTATCACAAAATTGAATAACTTCATTTCCTTAGGCGGATTTTTTGCTAGTATTCCTTAGGAAGAATTTTCTCCTGCTAGTGATTTTCTATGTAGGTATTTTTTTCCTGGTTAAAATATTTTAGGCGGAATTTTTTCCGGCTAAGAATTTTCCTAAGGCGGAATTTTCTCCTGCTAGTGCTTTCCTTAAGCTGAATTTTTTCCTGGTTAAATTTTCTAAGGAGGATTTTTTTCCTGCTACCCTAACTGTTTTCCTCCTAAGAAAATTTGCATATTTCGCAGCGTATTCCTGCTTATAGGAGGAATCTGTGATATGTAAACCTGAAATGCCTTAGACGGATTACGCCTAGTAGCTAGGCGGAATTTCTGCTTTTTTCAGGGCGGAAGTTTTCGTACGGGAAACAATGTCTCGGCCTAACGGCCTCGCCATTTTTTAGCAGAAACACCCCTTGATGTCGCCCCAGCCAGTGTTATACCCTCGTAACTAACTCGTTTCATATACTATAACTATTACTTGAAATAAAAAATTTTTATAAAATGTGTGGGTAAATTCCTTTTTCAGTTGTTGAAATTTGATTTCAGGTTTTTCCCCCTTTTCTGATTTAATATCGCGCAATATTTTCCACTGAAGAAAGCCACAGGTTGTTTTGAAAATTGGAAAAAAAATCACTGGACCTAAGACCACTAAGAAAGTGGATTTGCATATTTACATTTTAAGTCTTATGGCCAAAGTGAACATAAATTTGTTGTTTAGGGACATCATGGTGCCCTTGACCATTGGTCAGTGTGACCTCTAATTTGATGTTACCAGTAGTGTGTGTCTAAGAAGTTTGGAGACTATGTTTGTTAGAACTTATTTTATGGCCAGGGTATATATTTGATACTTGTATGTCAAACTGACCCACAATGCTTTGATCTGATCGGATGGGAAAAGCTCATCAAGTTTTATGAAAACCAGCAGTAAAGTTTGTATGCTGTATGCGGGAAGACCTCCGTGTTATGACCATAGGTGTTCGGGTAATTTTGACGAAAACCCAGCGGTCAGGTCTCTGTCGAGTTACACTTGCGGTGACTTCGAGATTACATATCTTCTTATAACTTGAAAAGATCGTAATGACAGCTTTTTTTCCTTGAAGAGTATTTATAATTCTCTACAATTTGGTACCAAGATATTGAAAATTAGTAAAAAAATGTTGGAGTTATGGAGTTCATATTAAGATGAGTGTTGAAAAATGAGCGGCAAGTTGCATACCTTTACTATATATATATATGTATCACTTTTTCTTTTCTTTTTTGTGGGAAATGAAGGTAACTGAATTAAAAGCATGTACCAAATATGAAAACATGTTTCAAATGGAAAATACTGCATTTTATATGGTTTTGAGAGGTAGGAGGGCTGTGGAGTGGGTGAGGGGGAGGGGCGGTGGTAGTGACAATCAACGCGCCGAACACCTATGGTTATGACCAAGGTTAATGACAACCAGACATAAAACTGTTGTAGGCCTACATGTATCAATGCCAAATTAGGCAAAACTTGATTCAAATTTATAAATATTCCAATAAAAACAAGTAGATTTCTAAAACTTACAGAATTCTCAAATCGATCTTAACTCAAGTCCGTTTATTCTTTACTGGCAATCTAAAACTTAATGTTTAAAATTTACTTACAGTTAAATCTATAACTATTATAGCTCAGTTTTCATGTCGTCTGCCCTCAATTTTAAGTCGTCCATTAAAATGCATTTTCCGAAAACGGCAAATTTCCGAAAACTTCAAAACCGAAAGTAGAGATAAATAAACCACTAAATTCACGAGAAAGATAAATATAGTAGTCTTAACCGTTTACCGTTATAAGAGTGCGCCGTTGTGATCATAATGATACTAAGCACAAGCCCTTACGAGGCGCGCCAAAATGCTCGCAGTCATTTGATTGGCTACGTCTATGTGACACAACAGGTAAAATCATTTTAAGTACGAATGTCACGGAAGGGAGCATGACCGGATAGGAAATATTTTTTTGAGATTAATGTTCCATTTGCTGTAGGTCTAGACCAATATTGACCAGGTGTGTATTGCTCACTCCGTTATTTTACAGAAAATTTACTCTATTTGTGAAAAATGACCCAAATTGTAAAGAATATCACAACAAATTCGCTGTCAATTATTTGTGAATTTTTTTCTTAATTATCTATTCGTTGTAGATCTATATCATTCTGTTTTAAATGCCCCAGCTGATCTATGTAAGAAATTCAAAATTCATGTTTTAGGCTTTTGGACCTCTCTAAGAGTTCCTTAACCCATTACTTCATGAGCATTTTGTGAAAAATGGAGCCCTGTTTTCATTGAAAAGTCTCCCGTTACAAGTTCAAATTGATATAAAACTACAAAAACTGCTTCGATACTAATCAAACTTGGCACAAATGTTTACTGGACCATTGCCTTTGCAACAACATGCTCAGGCTTAAATTTCCTGTTACCATGGCAACGAGGGGACATCTCAAAATTGATTTCAAAGTGCTGCAACTTCTCAAGTCAAATGCTTTTCAGCATTGGTTACACGTTACCTTATGATCGATATGGGGTCATTTTTAGCCTCTCACAAGTCCAAAATTTTCTTGGCGATGAGGGGGACTGCCGCCCCCCTTCAACCCCCCCCCCCCAAACAAAAGGGGGCATATCCCCCTTCTGGCAAACCCCTGATGTATCATTTGGTTGGGAGCCGCGCCGAAAAAGTGGTCACTTTTTTAAGCAACAATTCTCAAACAAAAACAAGTGTTGTGGGCATTTTTTCACCATTTGAGACAACAAAAATGGGGGGGGGGTGAAAAAGAAAAAAGAAACAGAAACTTGTAAAATATTAACACTTTTGTAAATTGATCTCTATAAACTACATGAAGAAGCTGTTGTAACATAAGCAGTTCAATTAATTAGTATCGTTGACTTTTATGCGTTGACTTTTATGCGACACAGTGGTTATCATTTTATTTAATTAACATATTGATTAACATATTTATATAAATTCCAGTCTTCCACCCTCGAACTAGAACTAACTATTACTTGTGTCATATGAAGAAGTATGGTCATGAGCCCAAATGATCCCTGACACGAGAAAGACACTTTTACCACTAGTTTACCGCTAAATTAATACATAATTAAATACTGTGTGAAATAGTAACCCCTTATTTCATTGAAAAAAATAACAAAATTTCCACCAAATACTTCTGTTACTACATAGATTTAATGACCAGATGTAAGATTATTTTCGTTCTTCTCAAAGAAATTCAACAGACAAAAATCAGACCAAAAGTAAAAAGCTGTTTGTTTTATCATAACACTTACATCTTGTACTCAAAAAAGTTATCAGACTTGAATTTAAGTCATCATTTAACTTGAATAGGGTTTTTGGATGTTTCCATGAGGTAGATTTTGTTTCAAAGTCGGATCTTCACTATAATATATAATCAAAGTGCTGAAAGCACTGGATGATGGAATTGCATTGCGTGAATGCTGTCACAAAGAGCCAAACATTATGCCTCTTAAACATCTTGCACAAACATGAATGCCCATACTGACACACTACTTAAGAACATATTGGGCGTGGATATATTGTATTAAACTGAAACAATACTGAAGTTACGAATTATTCATTTTAGTGAAGTTCTTGAGCAATTACTGGCATTTTTGTATGTGGAGAAATAACCTACTTTGATCCTAACCACCATCGTCGGATACCCACGATTGATAAACATGTCACATAACATGCTGATGAATGATAATGGTTCGGCCGTGGGTATCCGACGATGCCTAACCACATGCGATGAACGAAAGGTGGACATACTGGCAAGGGATGAAAATAGTGTGACGTGGTTATGACTTCTAGATAAGGAGAAAAAGGGCTGGGAAAAAAATTACCTGCCCTTTCGAAATGCATTCCAATTTAAAGCTGCATGCCAAAATATTTCAAGACAATCAAACTTGAAAAAAATGTACACAAATTTAAAAAAAGTAAAACGATTCAAGTAATAATCTACATGTTATGTGCGATTAATGATTGATTTTATCATTTTTTTCACTATATTTTTACTCCGTAACTTACGCAGTAAGGGTTACTTTTTCATATTTTGAACTCTTTTTTGTTATTTACGTGTACTGTAAGCGCCGTTTGCAATGTGTAAGTTTATATCTTTTAACTGCTAATGACTGCTAATGATCACAAAGGACTGCTAAGGAGGCAGAAAGGACTGCTAAGGAGCCGCAATTAAAGGATCTAAAAATACCTCATATCGCTATTAATTGATAGATATGTTATTAATTCTAATCCCTACCAAAGATTTTTGTTTTCTTAAATGGCATTTTAGTGATACAAATTATGTATTCGGTGAGTAAAAAGGTAACACAAAGACACAAAGGACTGCTATCAAGTTATTAGGTGTATTTAGAAAGTACTAAGTTCCGTGATGTTGCTAGTACATGTATAATATATTTCAGTATATTTACCATTTTTATAATAGAATTTATGCTTTCGATGAGTTGAACGACCGCTAAGGACTGCTAAGAGGCACAAGGACTGCTAAGGGGCCACAAATTTAAGGACCTCAAAAATACCTCTTATGGCCTTCTTATTGCTAGATAATTTTATTTAAAACCCCAATAAAAATATGTTTAATAGTGATACAAATTATGTATTCGGTGAGTAAAATGGTTACACAAAGACACAAAGGACTGCTATCGAGGTATTAGACGTATTTAGAAAGTACTAAGGTCCGTGATATCGCTAGTATAATATATTTAAGTATGTTTAGTGAAAAATACATATGTTTTTGTTTTGTAATTTAGGTGATGGAAATTATGTTTTAGATGAGTTGCAGGCCTGCTTAAGACTGCTAAGAAGCACAAAGGGCCTTAAAGTACCTCCTAGGGCTTTCTTATTGATAAATTAGTAAATTTGTAAATTTAAATTCCCCCAAGAAATATGTTTAAAAATGACATTTTAATGATATAAATTATGTATATTCTGATAATCGGTGACTAAAATTGTTACATATACACGGAGATGTTAAGCACATTGAATTATAGATATTGCTAATACGAGTATAATATATCGAAGTATATTTAGTGATTAAATCTAGATCTTTGTTTTGTGTCGCCTTTACGGAGTAGTGTCAACGAATAGGGATTACTTCTCCGTCGTCTGTCCGGCCGTCTGTCCGTCCGTTACAAAACTTATTGTTACAGGATTGATCGGTAGCTCAATTTCTTGTGCATATTACACAGGTTTTTAGGTTGAATGATTTTTTTTGCACCGCTATGGCTTTCATGAAGTAACACATGTGATAACTGATCGCTCTTGTTTAAAAAATGTAATTTTGGTGTTGGAATTTATGTTTTGGATGAGTAACAGGACTGCTAAGGACTGCTAAGGAGGCACAAAGGACAAATTACCTATTGAGAAGTGACAATTGCTTAGGTCTTTAATAATGCTTTTAGTTGTAAATAAATGAATTATTTGAAACAACAAAAAGTTTTATAAAAAGAAATGTCATTATAGTGAATGAAATTATATTTTCCAAGAATTGAAAATGATCAATTTTAATTTCAAAAGAAATCAGATGTAATTAATGATCAAATATAATAAAAAAAATATTAAGTTTATTTATACTCAAAACTTGCTTACTTCCTTACATTTGAATATTGCTTACTTCCTTACATTTGAATATTAAGGAAAGGGAAATTTTATATAGACCTCCATTAAAAATTGTTTTCATTTATAACAGAATATTAAAATGGAACCAACTATGTATTTGTTATACAATGAAAATAAGCAATGTAAATATTTGATAAACCCTGTATTGCATGTTATGTCAATGCATAATATATGAACTGAATGTCAGAAAAAATCCCCTTCGAACAAAATCCCCTTCATGTATTTTTGTATATCTGGACATAATCCCCTCCTTGGGTGGACATAATTCCCTTCATGTGTAAAATTTTAAAGTGGACAAAATCAATAAAATTGCTACCTAGGACAAAATCCCCCTCATATGAATTTTCTGTTTATAAAGTGGGTATGAGAATGACATACTTCATTATGCTGTGTGGTGATTGCTAGTTCTTTATTCGGGAATATTATGTCCACCCATGGAGGGGACTATGTCCAGATATACAAAAATACATGAAGGGGATTTTGTCCGAAGGGGATTTTGTCTGACATTCAGTTCATATATTATGCATTGACAAAATGAAAAACACACTTTGTCTTACTATTCAATTTTAATCATATTTGTTATGCAATTGATGATTTACCACAATTATAATGAGCACTGCTAAACTAATTAAATTTTTTAATGATAATTTGGTTGATAATTGATCATGATCTGAACAAATAAAAAATGTCTCATCATGCTTATTCAATTATAATGGATAACTTGATACATAATTATAAATAAAAAACAAAAGTTCATCAATTTTTATGGAGCAAAATTATACATGAAACAAGGGGATTTTGTCCGGGTAGGTAAGGGGATTTTGTCCAGCCTTGCAAAAACATAATGGGGATTATGTCCAACCATGGAGGGGATTTTGTTGTGTATGCGAAGGGGATTTTGTCCGAAGGGGATTATGTCCGTACACCATATGAACCATATGTATCTAATCATCAACTCAAGTATATGTAATTGGCTCTTCATATTTTTATGGTGATAATTTAATAATGTGCCTTACAAAACATGAGGAGTGATTTGAAGTGTTTTGAAAGATCATGGATTTATTAAACCATCTTTACAATAGGTAACTCATGAATTGTGAACAAATTGATTTGAAGTAATATGTTTTTTTTTTTTGTTTTTGTTTT